CACACCATTGCGGAGTTTCCTCTTCCTGCTGCATTCGCCGTTTGATGTTTCAAGGACAAATTACCGGTCTTGTACAAGCAGCATGATAAATTTCACAATTCTTACATCTGGAATGGTCTGCAGGGTCTTGAGATATATGCCACGGTGCCATACTGTGTCAAATGCCGCAGTAAGGTCAACAAGAACTGCACCAAACTTCTGCTTCTTCTGGAAGGCTGTCTCTATGTCGTTGACAAGCCTGACTACTTGGTCGGTGGTTGATTTTCCTTTCCTGAAGCCTGCCTGTGTAGAAGGTAGCTTCTCTTCGACAGTGTCAACAATTCTGGCAAGTAGCAGCCTTTCAAGTAGCTTGTAGATGTGTGATAGCAGGCTGATTGGAAAGTGAAAAAGTCTTTAAAAATTCATCATGAATAAAAGGGCAATTGCCATTACATTGGACCAGTTTGTTACGGTATTAACATCCATCCGTAGCAAATCTGAGTCGGCTTTAGAGTCCACTGTCCTGTATAACTTAGTGTCGTCGGCAAAAAGCTTCATGTGGGAGTCAACCATTGATGGCAGGTCACGATGAAGACATTGAACAATGTTGGTCCGAGCACACTTCCCTGCGGAATACCGCTTGTCACTAGAATGGATCTCGACTCTTTCCCATTTACTGCAACTTTTTGAGTCCTGTATGAAAGGTAGTCTTTAATCCAGGGAAGTAAGGGACCTTCAATTCCATAAGATTGAAGTTTACATATATGAGCCATTGATGTGGCACGCTGTTGAATGCTTTTCGATAATCCAGATAGACGCAGTTTACATTATGACCCTGGTCAATGACATCTGTCCATTCCTCGCAAACCTCTGTTAGCTGAGTTGAACAAGATCTTCCAGCCCGAAATCCATGTTGTTCATCACACATTAACTTGTTCTTCTCTATGATGTATGACATGCTTTCTTACTAGTTTTTCCATAGACTTGCATATAATGGATGTCAGACTCACAGGTCGGTAGTTGGCTGGGTCATTCTTCTTGCCCTTCTTGAAGATTGGAACCACTATTGCTTGTTTCCATACTGATGGATTTTTCCCTTCATTCATTAGCTTAGTAAATATTATTTGCAGTGGTTTGACAATCTCAGTATGTGTTTCTTTCAGCACGCCATATTTAGAATATTAAGGCATTCTATATAAGAGCCATGCCTTTCAGGGAACACTTTTTATATGATTTTCTTCCACACTTGCATAATAACAATGATAATGCTCACAAATAATTTTTCACCTCTTCCCAGAACTCAACCTTCTCTTTAAGTGAAATACTTAAGTGAAAAAATCATGACAAATAGAGGGTTTAACTGAAATATCATAATTTTGGTATTAAAAAAAAATGGAAAATCGCAAGCTTCCTCCTCGCACCAATATCTTATAACATTGACTGAATGGAGGCTTGCGATAGCCAATAAGAAGGGCCCTTGTCAGTGCCAATTTAGTGAACTTTCTTCTGCATAGCCGTGTCAATTGCAGACCTAGTGATTGATTTTGAGGTAATGATGAGGATGGGTCAGGGAGCTCATAGCTGCTCAGAGTTCTTTCCCAGGTCCTTGCCGAGGGTGAAGTTCATGATAGCATGATGTAATGTGCGTACCTCATATCGTGAGTGTGGGAGATTGATGAGTTGAACTATGATGAGGAGAGTTTCTTGGTCGACTCGCATGCTCAGGGGAATGAGGCCTGTGAGAAGATAGACAGCATCATCGGCAGCACCGTTGGGGAGCCCGAGGATCTTCTTGAAGAGCTGGTATTAGGATCTGTCCAGTTTATTTAGCCTTGTCTGGTTGAGCTTCATGGAGGCCACTCCGTACAGCATACGAGGGATGCAGTATGCTTTCCAGAGTTGTGCACAGTGGTGTGGTAGAAGTCCTCCTGTGTATGCACCTGCTCCAGTGAGGGCATAGAAGGTTTTTGTGCCTCTGGAGATCATAAGATCTGTTGGATCATATTTGGAGGAGGATTTTATGATTCTCAGATGTGGGTGTTGGGTAACTGAATCGATTGGCATCTGTCCAAGGATCCACGTGGGTTGAGCCGTTGTCTTGCGAGCTTTGTTATTGAAGGTGACAATCTTGCCTTTCTTGGTTGATGCGTGTCTGCATAGTTACATGTAACATGTAACATTCAGCATCTCTTGGAGCTCCATTACAGATGAGCTTGACTAGCACTACATCATCGGCCAGGAGGATCATACCAGCATGCTAGCTCAGCAACTGGCAGCTTAGCCTCTTGTCTCTCAGCTCCTTGATAAGGCCATCTACAAAAACAGTGTACAGCAGGGGGGAGAGTACTCCACCTTGTCTGACACCCTGGAGTATCGGTGAGGCTCCACTTGTCTTGTCAGTCCACAGTACTCGGCTTTCCATGTTTTCATACAGAGATCTGAGGAGGGCTGTGTATGCAGGGTCAATGTTAGTTTGGTCCACTTTGTAGAACAGGCGATCATGCCAGACTTTGTCGAATGCCTTCTCTGCATCAAGGAGAGTAACTTAGGTAGGTCGCTTCTGGCAGGTATTGATCTCTATACGAGTTCCAGGGTGCACGAAGTCAGCATGCAGGAGTGGTTTTTCTGGAACCCGAATCGTAACTCATCTGGTATACCATTGCCTTGAAGGGTCTTGTCTAGCTTTGGTTTGAAGATAAGCTCGAGGAGCTTGGTTGAAGTCGGGGTAATCCCTCGATAGTTCCTAGGATCGTGGGGATCCTTTCCTTTTCCTTTGTGGAATGGGAGAATCAAACCATTTTTCATCTTCTGCTAAGTATGAGCAGTTGCGAGGTAGTAGTTGTAGATGAGCAAGATCAGGTGCATGATGGCTTCTCCTATGTATCTGAGGTGCTCTGGGCTGATTTTGTCTGGACCACTGGCTTTACCCTTTTTCAGTTTAGTAGTAGCTTCCTTGAGTCCCACCACGGCACTAATGTCCTTTGGCGAGACATTGATCTGCATTTGCCACTCTCCACCAAGGTGTTATATGGGTACCCGGTAGGATGCGAAAGCCAATGTGGTATGCTTAGCAATTTGAGCCTAGTAGTTCTTGTTGGAATGCTCCCCAGGGAGTGGAGAAAGTGCATACATTGTGTGCGGGCAAGCCAGAGTCCGATGACCGGGGGTTATAATGTAAAGTGCTTAGAAACTCTTGACATTGCTGACGTATTAAGCGCTATATGAGCAATACTATTATTATTATTATTATTATGAGATGTTATGGTGAGGGCATACATGGGTGCTGAGAATGTGGGCTTTTCAGGGATGTCAAAGGCAGAGCTGCTGGAGGCATCTCCTGTATGGTCTGGTTGGGAGAGGTCTGTAAAATATAGCTCCCAGCCCTCAATGACTTTGCGGTCCCCTTGATATGTTCTACCATCATACTCTAGTGACTCTGTACCATATGCCAAGCAATCTTTGGAGCGCTGGTTCTTGACAAGTTTGTGGAAAAGTGGTTGGTTCATTTCATAGGCATTCTCGATACAGTTCAGGAGTTTTCTGTTGTTGTGAGCTTGAGATTGACGGAGCTGACTTTGAAAGTCCTTTTTGCATAGTAGGTAGTCTATGAAGAGCATACCACTGCGAGGCTTATTGGCTGTTTTCCATCTCTTCCAGACTTCAAGGGCGGCATATTACAATATTGTTCTAAAGTGAAGTCATTTGTCAAAGCTTTAATTGGACTTGTACCACATATATTGTTGAAATATTCAATATTTTGCACAGCTGCATTTACTGCAATGTATGTAATGATCTAGTATAAATTATAATATTACTAGTAATACTACTACTACTGCTACCACTACTACTTCTACTATTACTACTGGTGATAGGCCCAATAATTATAGTAAAAAAATAAAAATAGCCATTTACTAGTGCATTTGTAGAAGGAAATGATACTAAAGTTAAAGCTGATCTTGAGCTCTGGTATGGGTCCTATGGGAATCGTATATTTTGAGAGAAATTTGCTATATGATTTACTATGGATTGTTTATCGTGCTGTAAATTGTAATGTTTGAAACAGTCAAATAAAAACGACCTCACGAAAACTCACAACTATATACTTCAATATAAAATCACAACTCCCATTTTTTTCTTCCTATGTTTCAATGCTCATTACTCAGCCACTGTACATTTTCGACCAAATTTGTTTGGCACGTGTCATTTATTTGTAATCTGAATTCAGCGATAAGTTGGAGCTACAGACAGTGTATCATGCAATTAATTGTACCCCTGTCTAAATACTACTTCTTTAGGTGACTTTTTTAAAAAGTTGTTCACAAATCAACTTATCTAGAGAGTTTGATGCATGTATTGTACTATTGACTTTTTGTTCCAAAATGTCTGTTTTTCAATAATTATACAGATGTTATTGTTGTAAGTTGTCATTAAAAAAATTATGATAATATATAATTTAAAAATTATAAGTTGTCTAGACTGGTAGGTTATCCGGACAGTTGATTTAAACCAATAATTTGAGTAGTTGGTGGAGAGCACGTCAATAAACAGCTTTAAATCCAATTTGTTGAAATTTTGGTCGTCAAGAAAAGATCAATTTGACCCAGAGGAGTCCTTCGCTTGTCCATGTTCGTCAATTGCTGTATAGCGCCATTAAACATGTGTCAAAATATGGATTCTTCATCCGAATATCAACGAGAGGCAAATAAGTTTTTAACTTTAAATGCCTACTTCCAAGGTATATTTCCAAGGTCTAACAAGTTCACAAGCAATATTTCATAAATCTTTTAATATTTATATTGGACAACATGATAAAAGACAAATATTTACATGAATTCTGTATGATGGGTATTGCTATTTGATTAATAGTTTTTGTTGTTTCTATACTCTATACTTTATTATTGTTAAGCATCCCGTCACACTCCACCCCTCCCCCTCCCCCCTCCCATCTTATCCTGTGCAGACATAACCTGATGATGATGATGATTTATAAAAAAAAAACTTGTGTTCTTTGTTGTGTTTAGGAACCCCTGGCACTGGGAAGTCTACTCTTGGTCAGGAGTTGGCTCAGCAGCTTGAGTTTGTATATGTTAACGTTGGTGATGTGGCCAAGGAAAAAGAGCTCTATGAAGGCTGGGATCAAGACTATGAATGTCCAATCTTGGATGAAGACAGGGTGAGAAATATACACACTTAATTAGTTGCACGTCCCTCTGGACCTGCGATGCTTTTCACACTTGTTTTTCTTAGCCCCCGTACTTTCCCCAGCCCCTTACTATTTTTTGTTCCTGCTTTACACACTTTACACACTTAGCCCTTTACTATTTGCCTAACCAGGGCTAAGGAAATCCATGCTGTTCTCACTCACCCATACTATCACTGATTGGACAATGGACACAGTTAGGATAATTGATGATGTTTGTTTTGGGGGTTCATACACAAAAGAATGTCAGTTAAAAAGACGTAGAGTCACCTGTCTTGTTTTTATGAGCTTCAGCTTGGGCCTTCAGCTTCAGCTTGCACACATAAAAGGAGATGTTTCATTTGCCTATGTCTCTGACAACATGAAATCTATGTAAAAGGTATAGACCAGTTCTGTGAAATAAAAGTTGTGGAATCATAAAAGGTTGATCGTTTAGCATATAAGTATTGGTGTGTACTGCAAGGTTCTGGAATCATAAAAAAAATCAAAATGATAAGAAATTTGGCCCAGTCTTGGTAAAGTTGCAAGCACTGTACACAGAAAGGTGTATATGGGACTACCTGATATCTGTCCAGGCTGGATCGATATATAATTTACCAAATATATCAAATAGTAGGCAGTTTCCCGGCAAAATTTGTATCATCATGTATTAGTCAAAACATATTCTTTCACATGATTGGTAATCAGAGCTTCCATTTCATTTTTTGAGAGGGGGGCGTTTCCAAAACTGGTCTATACCTTTAAAGTTCAGTATTAAAAGAAAAATGCTTTCCATGATGTATTTGCCTGTGTGTACAGTAAACAACAGAATTACTCACACCCCTGTAAATTTGATGTTTTTGTGTTTTTCGTAACTCAGGAATGATAGGTGGACTGGTTGAATAAGGTCCTATGTTGAATGCTTTTAGATGTAAGCTTTAGTATGTCACATTCTGCAGAAATATAAATTGGGACAAATACATTTTTTACATCCTTAAAAAATTACAAGCCTTGGTAAGGGTATGAATAATTTAGTTAACTGTATATAAGCAATTTAAAGACACTTTAAGTTACAGTCTACCACTCTAAGATCATTGATCATGACTTGGATTACCGTGTCATACATGTATCTGAATGAGACTTCACGCTTACAAGAGAACATGATTTATTGATTTTCTTTCCACCAGGTGATCGATGAACTAGAGGAAGATATGAAGACAGGAGGGAAAGTGGTAGATTACCATAGCTGTGAATTCTTCCCAGAGCGTTGGTTTGACCTTGTTTACGTCCTTCGTACAGACAACTCTGTTCTTTTTCACAGACTCGAGCAGAGGTAAACAAACCATGGCTTCAGTAATGACTCATATTGAATTCTCTCATAGAACTGTGTTCTTTTTCACAGACTCGAGCAGAGGTAAACAAACTGGGCTATCAGTAATGACTCATGTTGAATACTCTCATAGAAAAGGATTACCTGTAGATGTTCAATGAGTTTGGTAAACAATTTACCTATTGATGAAGGTGATAAAAAAGTAGTTTGGATTAAGGATTTAGAAAAGCTTTTCAAGTGGGGTCCGCAAGTCATCTCTAGGGGTGCCATGAGAGAAGTTTATTTAAAATGAATATATTATTTTGGAATGAGGTCAATTTTGTTATACTATATATTAGAAACTGTTATTAATTTTCATGAGGAAATTATATTTTAAAGATAATAAAGTATCATGCTTTCTCACTCGCTTTGCAGGCTTGCAATATTTATTTTTAAAAATATTTCTGGCAGTGAAGTGCCTGAATACCTCCATATTTGGAAAAACACTTGAGGTATAGACTTCAAACTTGTGTACTGGTACTAAAGAAAATGAGGCTTGTTTAGGTCTTTTTCAGATCTAAGGGGAATTGTTACAGTACAAAATATAATGATAAAAAAGCAGAGCCTCCCCGATGTCAATTGACATGAAATCAAAGTTTGTTATGACAATATTGTTACTATTCTAAACTATTTTAGCAGTGAACTTAAAAAAACCTGTATTATCTAGTATTCTTCACTGTTGGGAGCAAGTGATCAGTTCTTGGAATGTCAGGTCAAAGGTCGTAAAGATCAATTGACAGAAGGTATTAAAATATTGTTTTTATTTGCTTGATACACAGGGGTTACTCTGGACGTAAGCTTGAAGACAATATCCAGTGTGAAATCTTCCAGACCATCCTAGAAGAAGCCTCAAACTCTTACTTGCCTTCCATCGTCAGAGAGTTGCCTAGCAACACACCCGATGACATGGAGGAGAACATTAGTACCATTGAGGATCACATTAGGCAGTGGAAGGCTTCAAAGAGATGAGATGAGATGAGATGCACTGGATTTTGTTTGTATTTCTATATATATATGTACAGTATATGTACAGCTCATGTAAATAGTGTATGTGCATTCTACTTTTGTTATGTAATAACATTGAATTCTCACTATTGCCAATACGCCAATAAATGATGTAGCCCCTTGGATGTATTACGAGCCACTTCCGGGACTAACATACTTCCGGCGTGTGGCGGCATGAACGGTACACATATTATGTATGCGCAATGTACATACTGACGTGTCCGAAGACTGTTTCTAATTTTCTCGATTTTTGTGATGGTAGCAACAAAAACAAGAGAAGGAATAGATACTCCAAATCATATCTACATCTAGATTGAAACAATGAAAGGCCCTTCTGGAAACTTCAAGAAACTGGTGGGCTTAACTTTAGAATACCCCACCAAAACATTGCGAACGAACCCTTGACATATTCATTTTTGAAATAGTTTGAAAATCGTGATAAATCAATGTGATTACTGTCTGAAAATAAAGTATACCGTACACATACACACCATGAATGCCGACATGCTCGGCGCAAACACAGGAAATAGACTGGAAGCGACTCGGTCACCAAACTTTCCCAGAGTGCATTTGAAATGGGGCCTGAATGTAACATACAGGTATTTTTAATATATTGGCGATAGCGAGAATTACATGTATACTAGACTATGATTACCATTGTCATTAATTGCAAGTACACCTGAGTAATCGGGTACTTTCTAATGCTACGTCGTCATATTAGTTACATGGTGCTCTTAAAGGAGAATAAAGCTGGAACAGCAAGAACAGATAATCTACTAAAAAAAAATTAGCCTGTGCCAAAAATTGTTCAAATATAATATAATATGTCTGAATACTTTGCAAGAAAAAATCTCTTGTAAATTTTATTTTTCCCATACTATGGGTGTCATGGTCGAGATGATGATATGTCACCGAACGGTGGATCACAAGGTCCGCCGTTCGAAACCCGCAGCGGCACAAATGTCCTTTGGCCAGACATTAATCTACATTTGCCACTCTCAACCCAGGTGATGTAAGTGGGTACCGGGCAGGAATTAATTGCTTAAAATGCTAGAGCGCCGTAATGGCAGCCAGGGTAATAATATAATAGTGGACCACCAGAATCGTCAAGTCTGACAGACATTAGCCCTATAAGAGAACCCACTCTAACTATTATTACCAAAGAACACCGGTGCCGTGCCGGGGCTCAAACCCACAATGTTCACCATCAGAGTCAAGTGGGTTACGCTGCTCTCATAACAACAATGATCTGTATAGGACACAGACATTATACTATTTCAGTTTCAGTTTCAGTTTTAGTTTCTTTTCATATTTCACATGTTGTATAATACATTATTACATTTAGCATGTTACATTTTCCTTTTTTCCTTTTTTTATTTATACAAACGAAGAGGATAATACATAAGACTAAGTTAAATAAAGGAAGAAATATAATGGAGCCCAAAGAAAAAGCAATGCTTGTATGTCGTAGGCTCCGGAAGTTATACCATTGATATAGTTTTGTGTATATTAAATAATGTAATAGGATTAAATTGGAACTTATTCTAAGGAATAGGTAAACATTACAATGATTAGTAGAGAGAGGGTGGAAACACTTTACAGGGTAGCTATCATAATCACAGAGCCATCCATGATCAGAGATGGATTGGCTCTGGGGAGTTTGGGGAATTTTAACCCCCAGGCTGCTCAATATTTTGGCTTGAGGGCCTGAAAATACTGTTTGGCAAAGCACATACTCCTGCCATTATCTCTCTAGTAATATCAGTTTTACTATGAACTGTTACATGTAATACATCCATCCCTCCCCCTGTTTACCGGTACTTAGGAATCTTATTTTATGCTCTGTTTGTTTAAACACAGTCCTTATGATACCTCTGTTACAACAAAATCTAAACCTCTCCTGGGGCACCTTTCTTTCTTTCTTTAAGTTTGCTAAATGTACATCAAGAACCTCAATTATGTTTTAAACAATTTTAAACAATTTGATGTAAAATTCATCAAACTCAGTTGCATTGGAGGGGCTGAAATGCACTTTTTATCAAATTGATCAGACCATTTCATTTGTCATCATGATCCCATAAACAATTTTCTTCAGGATTTTACTATACTTGTCTGTTATGTGTTTTTTAATAGACAATAGCTATAATTTGCATATTATGCAAGCTTGATCATCTTCCACTACCTGGTACTTTTATTTTCCTGAACTTTTATAGTATTACTGTAACAGAGGATTTTCAGGAGGGCACTGCAGTGGAATAACTTCATTTGCAATTACTTTGGGTTACCCCCTAGAATTTGCTATTTTCACTTGACTATTTGTTCACCTTTTCACCCTTGGTTTTTCTTCTTTCTAGATTACACCATCCTTAGTATTTCCATGGTTACCCTTCTCCATCATTGACTATATTTGTATACATGTCTTTTGTAAAAACCTTTCAGAAAGAAAGATTTGCTGTGCTGGACAATAAATTAAAGCCCTACTAGAATTCTTTGTGTCAACATCTTTTATTTTGAGTACTTCTGTTTAGCTACATTAATTTTTTAGTTGTTTTGTTTTTTTGTTTTTTTTGTGCTCTGACTAGCTGTTTCTTTGCCTGAGTTTGATGCTTGTTTGAATGATTGTGGGTTTTTTCAGTGTTTATTTTGAGTGTATTACACAGGCAGGCGCGGATCCAGGATTTCTTAGGGGGGGGGCCCAAATTTGAAATCAATTTGAAATTTAGTGTGCTGAAATTTAAAAATCATGCCGGCCAATATTCCGCTCAGTTGGGGGGGGGGGGGGGCCTCGAAAATTTGAAAATTGCACCCCCCTCCCCTTGAGCGCCAGGGGGGGGGGGCATCTAAAAAAAAAAAAGGTAGAATTAATGTAAAATTGTCCCAGGGGAGGGGGGCCCGGTCCCCCCTGAATCCGCCACTGTACACAGGTAGCAGTTGTGTCTTGTGTCCAACCCAGGAGTCATGAACCAGTAGAGAAGAAGAACTTATCAATTGCACTCAACACTCATTATCCTTTGAAATTTCTGCATTACCAAATGTGTCCCCGTTGAGCTATCGTCCAGTTCATATACCAAGATAATTGCCAAAAATCAGTGGTTTGGGGGAGTTATCCCCCCCCCCCAATAAATTTTGACTCAAAACTTATATTTTACGCTATACAGTGCGTCCTAGAAAAAACGAAACCGAGAATTATCAATGTTTTATCATAACTTTATTACAGTTATAATCAACACATTATTTTTAAAGCTTAGATCCTCTTCTTTCATATTATGATGCATATTTCACGCATGAGTGATTAAAATCAATTTGAAGAAAGGACACCAAAAGTCATTTGGCGGACAGTATCTGAATTTCAAAGAGAAATCACATTTCTAGAAATGTAATTTTCTGCCCTTTCATATGACACCACAATCAGGAAGAATGAGCTAAGCATAACAAATGTATGTTTGTTTAAAGTAATGCTTGCATTTCCATAATTTCATTAAACAAATTCATTTTTACCGGCTGCCTGCCATAGCAACAAACAGATTTGACAAAAGACTTAACTCCGTCTCGTTGACAATCAACCATTTAAAAATATGTGTTATTTACTAATACTTTATTCAATATAATTATGATTTTTTTTTTTTTTTTGATTTTTTATATTTTAACCATGATATTTTCCCTTTGTTTTTCAACTTACTGATTCAGTCCATTATCACCATATTGTAAAACGTAACACAATATTATTGCTTTATAGACGCAATAAAAATGTTATAATTATTAGTGAGATACCCATTGTACGATCTTCGGCTAAAAAAAATCCCACCTCTGTCGCCAAAAAGGAATTCCGAATATTTAGACTATAACTTATATGCAAAGACGCGTAAATGGTCGATTTTATTGGTTTCCTGTACAAAAGTGATCCAATTAACAGAATCATCGATCGCAAGTACTGAGCTGTCCAAGTTGTTTTCAAAATAATGGCTGATTGATTTTTGTCGCAAGATTCCCTAAAACTTACCTAACCATATCAAATAATACAAAAGCGCTAATAAATTGCATTTGTGAATACAATATGGCTTTATGTTAATCATTATATGAGACATTCTGTAGTCTATACAAGTAACGAAAACTGAGAGAAGGAAGAAGAAGTTGATGATTAAAACGTAGAGTTAAGGAATGTCACCGGAGGGGGGGGGGGGGGGTGCTCGCCTAATACGGTATACGGGGATGTGCCGCTCTACTTACTTTTTTTGCAAAAATTAATTATTTTGAACAGCCTATACTAACTTCCTGTTTCATGGTATCTTAGTTCTTACTGTTTACTCTTGTCCACTGAACCATTTCACAAAAACTCAAAGGTTACTGAACCCTAATGCGAGAAAGATATCAAATAAATTGGCAGCATATTTTCATTAAAATAGATAACATCCCAGATAAACTGTATCCATTTTGTATCACTCACCTGAGGGATCGATGCGAACGAAGTCAACATTGTCATCATAACGAAGAGAATATCATAAATTTTGCTTGAAATAACTTCTTTGAGTATGAGTTGATGTTAACATTTTTGTCCAACTTCCTGATACTTAATAGTCAATCTAAATAAAAGAGCAATTGTTTTGGAATGAGAAAACACACACATAATGGCTTTTGACCCACATTAATCCCCCATTCATCGCTTCAGCCAAAACTTGGCACAAGAGGATTTTGACATTATGTTGTTCAGTCATCCTTGGCAGCAATACCATGGTATCATTAGACAGGGCATTAAATCTTCTTTACAATTACATATGACAGGTTATATAACTTCTTAATTAGAAAAGCTACCAAAGTTGAGTAATTTTTTTAGGGATATACGCACCGGAAATAGAAAACTATGCTCATTTTAAGAGGAAATTAAAGGAATACCTAATACTTGACAAAATGACATGATTATGATTGAAATTTGTATTCTTCTGCTGGTTCATACTTTTTCATTTTGTATATACTTATGTTTTCGTACGTTAATATAGAAAGTCTATAAATTCATCATTATTTTCCTCTTCTTCCTCCGCCTCTTTTTCTTCTTCTCCTTATTATCATTTCTATCATCAGTTTAATGCTGTTATTATTATTATTATTATTATTATCTTTAATAAGTAATTCTTTTATTTTTCTTATCTGTCTGTAAATAATTATTACTATTTTAACTTATTAATTTTACATGTCTGTAAGGGACCCCACTGGAAATAAGCTCTCGAGCTTTCGTGGGTTATCCTGTTCAAGCTGACTTATTTCTGATATGTTATTATTGTATATTGTTGTATGTTGGAAGCTTGTCGAATAAAAATCAATCAATCAATCAGTATATATATATATCATATAATATATATATATATATATATATATATATATATATATATATATATATATATATATATATATATATATTGTACTATGTGAAGAACACCTCGTTATTTATAATCAAGAAACGGGAGGGGCTTGAAAAAGAGCCTCTCCCATCCTCTGTAGACTCTCTGTAGTTCAAATAGACTAGATTCTATAAAATAAAAAAAAGGTTTGCGAGTGCACACCGTCATGCATATGTACCACTGAACATATTCCAGTTCAGTGGTGCAATTAACTAGCCAATGCGTACGACCACTTGTCAGAGAGGAGAGGAGCGAGCGCGCTATATCGAGGTACGGTATCCGTGTACATACGCATGTACGATTTACGCCAGAGAGATATATGCAGCGCTAGCGATACTGCATGCACTGTATATTTTTATAGAGCGCGCGAGCGGCCACTCCTTGATAATATACAAACTTGATCTCTCCGCTTCGTACACCCTTTTTGTGACCCAAATAACGCGACGGTGGTAGTTCCTAGATCTTTGACTTCTAATTTGATCTATTCAGACATCAAGGGCTACTTTCATTGGACAGGCAAGTGTAATTTCTGTATGAACATTACTCCACCATAATAAGAAACTGAACTGACTTGTAAAAAGTGAAATATGTCCCGCCTACGGCTAGTATAATTTCTAGAATCACGAATGAGCCGCATTCTTAGACATACAGTCATGTACTTAGCATTGTACTTTTGTAGAGTATCTGAACGAACTGAAGGATATGTAATTAGTTCTATGTTAGTAGATTCAGGGAGAGTGGGAGTGACGCAACTTTTGAGGTAAATTCACTTTGTAACTGCGAGGTGGTGTGAATTTCTTTTTATCTTATTACTTATCGTTTGCCACTTCGCTATAATAATATTAACAATAACACTTACAATTAATATTAGCACTAACATTAACAACACTTTGTAATTTGTGACAGTGCAGTGCAAAACTAATTTTTCATGTTTGACAGGATTTTTGTCACTTTTCTTCAACTTGGTATGCAATTTAAAATCGGTACAAATTTCACATCTTCAGAAAGGTCATGAAATTTGCTATCTGCATGTCCATATTTTTATTATAGATCTAGACCTAAACTAAAAGAGATTTTTTGTTGACATTAAGAGTTGAGTCATAGACGTATATCTACCACCTTGTAGCCGTCGCGCAAAGAAAAATGCGCGCGAGTAGACAAGACGCAATAAATGAATTTAAAGGGTGAAGCCTGATTAACATATTTGGCGATAGAGTGTGGTGATGAAATCCTGACCTTATAAATAATTGGCTCAGGTGAAGAAAGGTGATGACGTGAGGAGGCTGGGTCCCTGCAGGCTTCAAATAGATGCCTACATACCGATAAGCTTATTATGACATGGATAACTGAATTTTCCAATTTTGTGGTTGGTTTAAAGCCTATTGATCCGATCACAAATCCACCTTCATCTGCATGTACTATAGGGCTGTATATCCACACACATCAAGCATGCATGACTGTGATACGTGCATTTTAAAGAATGATTGAAAGGCATATTAATGTTGTTCCGAGTATTTTTTTTTTTTCCTTCGGGATATCTTGTTATTTAGGGTACGCATATGCTTGTTCACTCTTTTTTAAAGCACCCCCTATCTGAGGACTGCCAACATTTCCGAACCCCCCTTTCGCAGGCTTTTCGCTTTTATTTTCACTGGCTTTTCCTGCCTTGGAGACCCCCTAAATCATGAAAAATGCTCAATGTACCCCCCTAAATTTGGAATAATTTCTCAGGAGTCCAAAGAGATGAGAGAAAAAAAGAACAAACACCCCCTTTTTTGGTAACACGCATGGGGTCCGTCCGTTCTCGGAGTGGGGGGGGGGGGGGGGGCCGGGATTATCTTCTACTGGGCTGTAGGAAGATTTACCATACGTTTTATCTTGCTGTTCATTCTGTGAAACGTTGAAAACATATCAGCTTTGATTTGATGGCTTAATCGTACATGTATTTACTAGTCTTCCCTTCCTATTTTGTTTTGCAGTTGGGATAGCTTTGACCACATTCAGGCAAAATGTCACAATTAAGCAACATCAAGGAGCGCTTGGGGCTGATCCAGTCAGATATTGATACCTCGAACGGGGCCATCAGAGAGCTTCAAACTGAATTGGAGGAGCATTCACAGAGAGCAGAAGATGTAAGTTCATTTATAGGCTAACATAGTGCATTTGAATATAAGTAAAATTATCCGATGGGTTTTAGTTCTACTTACGCTTACTCAACTTTGACCGTCAAGTATCTTTAGCAAATTTTGGCATTGGAAATTATGATTTTAATTTGTAACATTTATAAAGCATTCAGTATGAAAGCATTGTACCCTTTTTCTTGCTTATTTTCAGTTTGAAGAACAAGCCAAGACGCTCAACATGAAATGTAGAGACCTGGAAGACGTCATGTCTGACCGGGAGGATGAGCTTAGACAGCGTAAATTGAAGATTGATGAGATAGAGGCAGAATCTGATGAAAACTCCAGGTAAACTATAGTGGTATAACATTGAGCATTCATTGCAATGAGGTTCAGAGATGAACCGACTTTTTTTGTTCCATCGGGTCTTTGCGTCGGGTTGGGTTATACAGAGCTGCCAACCATTCTGTTTTTGACGGAATTACTCCGTTTTTTCTTCCAAATTACGTTTTTTCTTCATAAAATATGTTTTTTAATAAAATTTTTTATTTTTTTTTTTTTTTTTTTTTAACATACCGCATGTCAAACAACTGCCCTAAAATGGTGATTTGATCACAAATTCAATAGAAAACTAATTTTAAAACATACTTGAAGAGAAAAATATTTTCAAAAAAAATGAAATGCCGATATTACCAAAATAATCATCAAAAAAATTACCTGCTTGTATGGAAAAAACAGCATGATGAATGAACATTTCTGCATTGGAAGTGTGTCGCGCGTGGTTGTAAACTGAATGCAAATAATCATCAGCTCAGGTAAGCGTAAGGTCTGCGGACCTCTTGTTTCTTCTATGACACAACTTACCCAAGGCTACATGTAACCCTCACATATTTACCAATATTAAATTATAGCTGACAAGGAAAAATGATGAATTGAAAGTCATAGATTTACTTGAAATTGCAGAAACTAGATTTTAGTAGCTTTCAGAATTAATCTCTTCAGTTGAAAAATAGCTGTCAATGAATATTATTGTTAGTGATAGTATTAATAGATCAATGTAAAATGTAATTTCATTTACTACAGATTTTCAAGAGTGTTGAAGATGCGTGAAAACACCAACACTGATAGGGTGAGTACTTCCCCCAGTCATTCTCCAAATAAATTGTGAACATAAGAGAACTATCAATCTGCAACTTACCGTAATTACTCTTAATGCTGTAGGTAGGACAAACATGGCTTGTCCAACCTATCAACATGTAATGTATGCAATTTGCATTCTGACTATTGAAATACAATTATTTGTATAATCAGGTAAATGAAATAATGTGTCTTGAGGTTCTTAACAAACATTTGTGCTTTTGATTACATTATGAAAATGATCTACATGTACTAGATGTGCCTTACTCACTTAAACAAACAAAAAAGAATTTCCAGTTCAGTAAAAATGTTACTTTAAAGAAAAAGGTGTTTAAAATCTGAAGTCTATTTAAGCACCCTGACTTCCAAGGTCTTGTGCAAGGTGACAAAGGCGGATTGAAGAAAAAAAAAGTAGGGCCTTTCTCATTCTCAATCCATGTTTGGTTGAACCTGTTTTTGGTTCCAGAGAGAAGGAAAAAAAAAACACTGGATGCAATTATTTGCTCCTTACAAAATTCACCTGAATGTTAATAATGTAAACAATTGAGATAACATCTGCCCCCAAATTGGTAAAATATTGACAATCATATCTTGGTGCATATTTCTAGAGGTGTCCAGGATAAGCTTAAATCTAAATGATACCTTCTATATATGTTGAAGGAATAATGTATGATGAGAGATTACTTAGTATGATAATACAAACATTATGTCATATCTTAACAGATTAAAGATTTAGAGACCATGATGGACCAACAAACTGCAGATATTGAGCGCTTAGACAAAGTCAACTCTGATGTAAGTACACTCAAGATATATATATATTTTTGTGGGGGGGGGGGGGGGGCTGTAATACATGATTAAGTCTCATAGAGGTTTAACAACTACATGAATGAAGTTTTTCTAAAAAATTGGATGCTGTAGATAATTAATTAATTATGACAATTATTGTCTATTTGGTTTAGCCTAAAGCTGCAATTTTTCCAAAATTTATATTGAATTAAAAGTTCATGGGAAGCAATTTATTAAACTTGGTTGTGATGATAATGAGATTATTAAATTAATCTGAAATTACTTATCTCATTAGAAAGAAAATACAACTTTCAGGGATTATTTTGCTGGAAAATTGTTTGTTCACATATCAAATGCATACGTTTAAACATAGTAGGATATGTCTATGTTATAGTACATGTCATATGACCAAAATTTCTTATTCTAATTGATAATCTTTTTGTTTACATCTGTCACATCCGAAACCGAGTTGGAGATATTTCCTTGCCTTGTCATACTTTTGAATGTCACTATTTGTAATGTATCAACTTTAATACTGGTTGTCACTTGTTTGTTATTCAGTCTACCCCACACTCGTTGAATAATGTTAATTTGGAATAACAAATCTCTTAGGTAGGATGTGCATCATGTGCTTCAAGTTCAGTCCACCTTTTAACATCTAAATTTGTTTCATTTATACCACTTTTTGGTACACAAAATACCTAGAATATGGTGTATTCAGTTTTTATCAAATTTGTTGCAATAAGGTTATTCTCATGGCGACATAACTTTTTCAGCAGTCATTGCATGGTAACATTATCTAGGTGCCAATTCATAGAAATTGAGTTTTGATATACTGTATATTAAAGCAGTTATTTTCACAAATTTAACAAGACAAAAAAATGTATCCAGAAAGTAATGTTGCATTTCTAAATCAAGCCCATCGCATGATGTCGCGCATGGCATCTATAAAGTATAGCATGAGCCATCACGGGGCCTTGTGATGTAGTTTGAGACCACATCTATCGTAATAGGGCACTCCAATAGATTATTTTAATTATTTTCTCCCCAAATAATTCATACCTTATGATGATTGTGATGTAATGAGTTCATGATCCATGGAAATAGAATGATAAATTTTTGAAAAGTGTATACATTTGGTAATGGTTGTGGCTATACAGGAATTTGATCCACAAAAAATGGGTGTACAATTGTATTAAGCATCTTAATTTTCTATTTTTCTTTTCAGCTTCAGAGTAAGTGCCAACAGATGGAGGACAAATTAGAAGATGCTGAAGACAATAGTATTCGTCTGAAGAGGTACCGTTACAATTCTCCGTCAAGATTAAAGTAGATTTAAATATGACATGTACAGCTAATTTTTAGTTCTAGTAGTGAATTTTCACTTTGTAAGAAACCAGCTGAATGTAATCTCGAACTTATGTGCTGCTTGGGCCAGGAGTAATAAACAATAAAACAACCAAAACAATTATTTTGCAGCCTAGATTAAAGAGATAGGAGATCGCTTTGCTCGTTATGGATTCCATGGTGCACATGCCACGCAGTCTGTTGGGCACAAAATGTTTGGTTACAAATACATGAATAGTTGACTGGTTGGATTGCAGTGGAAGGGTATAGCACACAGCACAATCCAATCAAAATCTGTTTGATCGCAGTCAGATGTGTGCTGGGCTTTAATCATTTATTTTGCGCTTAAACAATGTCTTTTATCTGTGTGGTGTTAACTAAATACATTATTGATAATAATGGAACAATGATAATAATAAAAAAGATAATGATAATAATAACCTTAAAAAGCAAGCCAAGAGAGTAGTTGAAGTACATTATATTTATTGTATTGTTACCATTTGTGGGCTTGGTATGCAAAAAGGAAATATTTTTTTTGCGGGGATGGCGAAAATTGGTGATATTTTGTTTCTCAACATATTTATGTATATTGTATACAATTAACTGACATTGTTTATTAGGGGTTTTTGCCGGGGTTTGAAGGGGAATGACAGGCAATTGGGCATAATGATTCATCAATCAAGAGAAATTAATGTGTAGATAGTTGTGTACCATTGATCTACACTGGCCACGTTCCACCCAGGTGAAGTAGGAATTTATTCCTTGAAACGCAGCGCGCGTAACAGCTGCACTGCGAAAGCCAGGGTAATTATGCTGCATTATTATTGTAGAGCGCTTATAGACTTCTGATAAAGTAAGTGTTAGGCGCTATATAATCAATTATAATTATTATTTATTTTCTCTATGTTTGTAGTACCTTAGATGACCGTCAGGAGGAGATTACTCAGTTAAGAAACAGCTACAAATCTCTGCAGGCTACAGACAAGAAGATGTGTGAGGACTTGGATCACTTTGAGACTGATTGCAGAGATAAGAAAAAGCTACTGGATGAGGTAAGAATAATATGAATAGTATTATCAATTTCATTTTTGAGAGAGACTGATAGATAGCTTGCTAAAGCTTTGGTAAATTCAGGAATGAAATATGACATCTAATTAGTGAACATTAGGGGATACTCTGCCCTCAGCAAGACTAAGGATTGAATATAGAATAGAATATATAGAATAGAATATATCATTTGTCTTCTGCCAAAACAAAAGAAGAAACTCTCCATCCAGGTAAAGCACATTACATTAACTTACACAACTTTAATATACAAAATTATAAAAGAATACATTCATATCAAAATACATGGATAAAAAGTATGAATAGATAATTGAGACATACATATAATACAAACTACATAGAACATGAGGATTAATGGAAGAAGACTAGAAGGAAGAAATGGAGAAGAATTTAAAATGAGGGGATTAAAGGAGAATGTAGCCCGGGGAAAAGTAACTCCAAAAACCGACCCCCCCCCCCCCCCATCCCTCACTCTCCTTCAAACAAGTACGAAGAGACAGAGAGACTAGGGGGAAATGGGATGAAGAAGGGAAATAAAAAAGGAAAGTAACAGAAAGAAAAGAAACAAGGAGAGAGGGAGCGAAAGATATGAATAAGAGGAAGAAAAGAGAGAGAGAGTCAGGAGAGAAAGGATAGAAGGAGAAAGAACATAGAATATAAAAAAGGTTTTAAAAGTTATTGGGAGGGCAGCTGCACTGCTGCTCAGAGAAAAAGTACACAACTACCAAGTACATGTTTAAATGCATGGAATTGTCAGCAGACGCAGGCTACCATGCCAACCATTGTTAACTTGGAAAACGTGTTCAACAACCTGGCACGTGCCCGCCGAGGATCCCAAGCTAAAAATAAAGGGATGATACGTTTAAGACCATTACAAGAAATTAATAAATAAGAAATCACCACATGATTAATGGGCACAAGAAATCACAACTAGTTTCTGAAAACTGAGGGAGAATAAACAGTTAAAGGTATAGACCAGTTTTGGAAATGCCCCCCTCTCAAAAATGTTTTGTCTAATACGTGATGAAACAAATTTTGCCTAGAAACTGCCTGCTAATTGTTATATTTGGTAAATTATTACCGGTGTATCTAACCGGACTGGATAGATATCGCGTAGTCCCATATACATTTTTCTGTGTACAGTGCTTGTAACTTTACCAAGACTGGGCCAAATTTCTTATCATTTTGATGATTCCAGTACCTTGCAGTATACACCAAGACTTATATGCTAGATGATCAACCTTTTTATGCCTCCGCCACCGAAGGTGGTGCCGGAGGCATCATGTTTTCGGGTTGTCCGTCCGTACGTCCGTCCGTACGTCCGTCCCGTTTGACCGTTATCACAATATCTCAAGAACCATTTAAGATTTAAACTTAAGACTCGGGAATAGTATTTATCACCATAGGAAGACGATCTGAGTAGATTTTGGAGTACGTAGGTCAAAGGTCACAGGTCACAGAGGTCAACTTATGAAATTCCTTGTATTGAGTTTGTTAGCGCGATATCTCAAGAACCATTTGAGATTTAAACTTCAAACTTAAGGATAGTATGTATCACCATAGGAAAACGATCTGATTAGATTTTGGAGCACGTATGTCAAAGGTCAAGGGTCACAGAGGTCAACTTATGAAATTCCATACATTCATTCAATTCAATTCAATTCAATTCATTTATTTTTTCCTCTTTCAATCGTTCATATTTACAATGATGGTATATTTTAACATATTCACATATTTATATACATATAGATCAATTTGCACAATACAATACATTAAAAAATAAACATGAAATTGAAAGGGAAGGAGGGCCGACTAAAAAGCAGAGCTTGTAGGGTGTAAGCCCCCCTGTAAAAGTAATTATCATGAATTATCATTTTATGAGAAAACAAAACAAAAACAACAATAATAACAGTAACTGATTCAGTAATACAAAAAAAAATAACTTTTAAACGCAAAACATTGATAAATACATACATGTTTATAAAAAGAAATAATCAAAGTTGCATAAAGTCACACTACAAATTATATTTGATTGAGGAATGCAATAGCGTAGTAACTATTCAGAAGAAAGCTTTTAAGTCTCCTTTTGAAAATTTGTATCGAATTACACTGTATAATATCATTTGAAAGAGAATTCCACAGTTTTGGACCTGTAAAAACAAATGTCTTTTGTGCAAAAGATGTTCTATTTAATGGTAAATGAAAAGAGCTCGCCTGGCGAGTGAGGTAACTATGAATCGAATCATTTCTTACGAACATATCATTAAAAGGCAAAGGTAATTGTTTAGTGTTGAGCTTGTACATTAACTGTCCAAGCTGAAAAATATACAAGTCTTTAATTTTCAAAATGTTATTATTCAGAAAAAGATTATTCGTGTGTGCCCGGAAATCTGCATTATTAATAATACGAATCGCTCTTTTTTGTAATATAAAGAGTCTATTAATTTGGGAAGTTGCTACACTGCCCCAGGCAATAAGTCCGTAATTCAAGTAAGGAAGAATAAGCGTAGAATACAAGGATAACATAATATAATGGGGTAGGAAGTGTCTTAATTTACTAAGGATACCAGTGTTGCGAGCAATGATTTTGCAGATATTGTCAGTGTGCGCTTTCCAAGATAGTTTTTCATCAATAACTAGCCCCAAAAATTTAGTTGTTCGGGCCCTTTGAATGACAGTACCATCAAAAATTATACAATTAGGCAAAGTTGCAACCTTATTACTAAATAGCATGTAACTAGTTTTGTCTAAGTTAAGTGACAGTTTGTTTGCTTTTATCCAATTTGCCACACTTTTAAGTTCGTTATTTAGTATTTGCGTCAATTGCTCTGGATCGCGATGTGACAAAAAAATATTTGAGTCGTCAGCAAAAAGTATAAATTGAAGCAGACAAGATGACCTCTCGATGTCGTTTATATAAATAATAAACAAAAGTGGGCCAAGAATACTTCCTTGCGGAACTCCGCAAAGGACAGGTTTACTTTCAGAGAAATTACCATTCAGCGAAACAAACTGGGAGCGCCCTTTAAGATAATTCTTGAACCACGTCAACGGTTTTCCCCTAATTCCATAGTGAGAAAGTTTGTAAAGAAGTACATCATGATCAACAGTATCAAATGCTTTAGAAAAATCTATGAACAAACCAACCGTATTAGAAGACTGATTGATAGCTTTGGCAACCGTTTGAACTAAAGAAAGTATGGCATGGGTAGTGCTACTCTTTTCTCGGAAGCCAAATTGAGTATCAGAGAGGATGTTGTGCTTTTTAAAGAAACTCATGGTCCGTATGTGGACCAACTTTTCAAGGATTTTAGACAAGGTTGTAAGCAATGAGATTGTTATCATGATATCTCAAGAACCACTGGAGATTTAAACTTCAAACTTAGTGATAGTCTGTATCACTATAGGAAAACAATCTGATTACATTTTGGAGCACGTAGGTCAAAGGTCAAGGGTCATAGAGGTCAACTTATGAAATTCCATACATTGAGATTGTTATCATGATATCTCAAGAACCACTGGAGATGTAAAAACTTCAAACTGAAGGATAGTATGTATCACCATAGGAAGACGATCTGAATAGATTTTGGAGCACGTAGGTCAAAGGTCAAGGGTCACAGAGGTCAACTTATGAAATTCCATACATTGAGATTGTTATCATAATATCTCAAGAACCACTGGAGATTTAAACTTCAAACTTAATGATAGTGTGTATCACCATAGAAAGACAATCTGATTAGATTTTGGAGCACGTAGGTCAAAGGTCAAGGGTCACAGAGGTCAACTTATGAAATTCCATATATTGAGATCGTTATCGCGATATCTCAAGAACCACTGGAGAATTTTCACTTCAAACTTCATGATAGTATGTATCACCATATCATTATATCTCAAGAACCACTGGAGATTTAAACTTCAAACTTAATGATAGTGTGTATCACCATAGGAAGACAATCTGATTAGATTTTGGAGCACGTAGGTCAAAGGTCAAGGGTCACAGAGGTCAACTTATGAAATTCCATACATTGAGATTGTTATCATGATATCTCAAGAACCACTGGAGATTTAAACTCCAAACTTGTTTAAATTGCTCTATGGTGGAGGCATCATTTTCGACTGCGCGCAGTCAAAATTCCATCTAGTTTTTATCGATTCCCCAACGTTTCTTTTACAATGCAATCGCATGACCAGAACTGGTCTATACCTTTAACCGACTTATCTTGTTTTACGTCATTGGGTATAACTACCAAGTACATGTTGAAATGCATGGAATTTTTGGCGGGCGCATGCCAGGTGGCTCCTTCTTCTTCTTCTTCTTCTGTACATGTCGACAGACTTGTTAGTCCATATAAAGACACGGAAACGAAGCACATGGTCATGGAATAGAGCAATCTTTTAGGAATTGTAGCGCATGGGACCTAAAGGAATCAATTGATCCTGTGTTGATAACGCTATCGGGTAACTTATTCCAGTCCTTGCACGTACGAGGGAAATAGGAGAACTTGAAGAAGTCTGTCCTGCAGTACGTCTGTTTCAAATGATGGCTATTGCTTGTTGAGGAACGACGGGATCTAGTAACAGCAAGAGGTGTTAGGGTCTTCGGGATGGCAGATTGTCCGCTCTGGATCTGTTTCATGAGGGCAAGTCTTGCAACTTGCTGATGTTCCAGTGAGTCCCAATTCAGATCCCTCAACATGTCCGTGACACTAGCACGTTGGTTGTAGTTGTTGACAAATCTTGCAGCACGACGTTGGACCATTTCCAGCTGCTTGATGTACTTGGTTTCATAGGGGTCGTAGACACTAGCTGCATATTCTAAATGAGGTCTTACTAGCGCAAGATAAGCAGTGCTCTTGATGGTTCTCGAACAACCTCTAAGATTACGCCTTAACATTCCGAGAATCCTGTTAGCCTTCTTGGTAATGTGAGCATACTGGAAATCCCACTTGTATTTGTGGGTTAGGAAGACTCCAAGGTATTGGTGATGTTGAACTGGATCCAGGATTTGGGCATGAAGAGTATATTGGAAACTCAACTTCTTCCTCTTGTTGGTCATATTCATGACGAAGCATTTCTTAGCATTAAATTTCATCTGCCACTCGTCCCCCCATTTTTCAAGTTGATGAATGTCCCTCTGTAGGTTCTCACTATCGGATAGGTTTTTAACAACCTTGTATAAAATACAATCATCAGCAAATAGACGTATTTCAGACTGTAGATTTTCGGTGAACCATGGCAACCATTGTTAACTTGGATACATGTTCAACAACCTGACATGCGCCTGTCGAGGATCCCGAGCTAACATTAAAGGGCTGATTCATTTAAGACCATTACAAGAAATTACTAAATAAAAAAAATCACAACATAATTAAAAGAAACTACCATATGATTTATGGGCACGAGAAATCACAATTAGTTTCTGGAAACTGAGGGAGAATAAACAGTTAACCGACTTAGCTTGTTCTGCGTCATTGGGTACTGTTAACTGTTGAATAGATGTATTGCACAAGGTATGAAGGTTCTATGAAACCTTTCTTTTCTTATACGTATCTGATGTGCCCTACGAGACTCGTTAAAGATCACTACTTGGTTAAGAGGATGTGAAGAATCTTTAACCAGTTTCTGAAAATGTGTCAGAATATGCTCATCAACTATATCTGCCAGACATTGAACAGCTCTGCCTATTATTTTCTTTGCTGCTTTAATAACCGTTTCCAGCTTTGTTCTATCCTGAACCCTCAGAGCATGAAACCAAACAACACAGCAGTATAAAATCAGAGGTTGAATGACTGAATTATAAAAAAGCTTCATGATATCTTTACTCACACCAAACATATTCATTTTCCTGAGAAAGTACAACCTCTGGTTTGCCTTCGAGTATGTTTTCCTAACATGCATGTCCCATGACATACTACTGTCAATGTGAACTTCCAAGTATTTGTATTCGGTGACAATATCAACATTTTCATCATGTACATATAGGGAATGATGTTATTCTTCTGCCTTCTGAAATCTATGATCACTTCTTTTGTTTTTCATATATTCAAGACCAGATTGTTTCCTGGACACCAATTTACAAACTTAGTTACTTCATCTCTGTAGGGTTTTTCATCATTCTGACATATAAGACCCATGACTACTGTATCATCTGCATATTTAAAAATAGTAAAGGATTCATTTTCCATCTTACAGTCACAAGTATAAACACTGTCTTGTACTCTACTGGCCAAATGAAAGGAAATACTCATCTTTGAACTATTCGTCCCATTCGATCTCAATATAACTGAGTCCCTTAAATATAAATGTAATAAAAACGCTCTACTCATTCACAACTTCCCAGCCAGAAATGTTAAAGTGGTCTCTTGGTATTTGAAGATGGTAGCCATGGTCATTGAGAGAGCTGCAGCATTTCCATTTGTAGAACAGCTCACCCCCATTCAGCTATATGATCCTATACAGTCAGTTTATCAAATCAATTTGAGCACAGAGACTGCCTTGCTGGAGCCCCACAATGATACTTTAGTTCAGTTCAAAAAAAGGAAAGCAGTGTTTCGTAGTCTCCTTGACGCGACTACAGCATTTGATCCTGTAGATCATGAGATATTGATAAAGTGACTTGAAACTAATCCTAATACTAGGTGTAATAAGGCCTGAATATTTGAGCTTTAATTTAGAGAGTAACTAGTAGTAGATCAAGGACAGTTTTATTAAAGATCCCTCTAAAGTACAATGAAGAGAGAGTTGTTATAAAAACTGAAAGAAAGAAGGAGAGCTGGGGAGGTTTGTTTGAGTCGTACCTTAACAAGTATCTTTGTTTCAGATTCTAAACAAAATCCTGGATTTAGCTCATGCTGCAATAATAATAATAATAAATTTAGGTCAATCAGGAATCCCATAAATTTTACAAGCCAATCCCCTGTCTGATTCTCAAGATATTTATGATTGAAATTCAAATTTGTAATAACACTACAGTCTATTGGGGAAAATGAGTATGGTAAAACCGGTCACTCAAAGATTTTTTTCTTTTTTGAGGCACTTCATGATCATTTTGAAGTGCAATTTTTTAGGGCTTCAATATTACACAATATCACAGACACTGATCACACGTAGGGCCATGCATCTCAGATTTAACATTGTTAAACGATGCCTTTAACTAATTTGATTTCATTTCATTGCAGACGTCATGCCGTGCAGAGGATGCAGAGACCTCTGTTACACAACTCAGAAAGCGAGTGGATGAGCTTGAAGGTAAAGCCAGGTTCATAATACAATGAGAAACAATTATTTATATCTTTATTGTTGCAGTAGTTGCAATTATTTTCAAATATTAGGATTGAATTTCTGCAATGCCGATTGCCTTAACTTTTACTGTGCCACAGGGTTTTGCAGGTTTCAAGATTTTACTAAAACACAAACAATGCTTTTTTGTCAACTTCCGGTACCTGTACTTCTTTAACTGTGTTTGATTTCACAAAATGTTGCATACCAAATTTGTAGGAAATCTATTAGTTATTACAGTTTCCAATGATACAAAAATGTTTGTCATACATTTATTTCATCAATGAAAATTATCGTGGAATATAAACGAGCTCACTTTTAGTCCGTTAAATTTCTATTTCTCATACATTCACCATTGTTTATTGCTCTTTTCTTCTTCACAGATGAACTCCAGGAGTGGCAGAGCAAGAAACACACATGTCAGGGTGAATTGAATCAACTCATTTCAGAAATCAATGAAATGTAGACAACTTCAATGTGCATCACATTCTTAATTGATTTTGATGGAAATTTTTGGTACAGGCACAAAACTTCTTGTATATAGAGAAAAAAGTAATCGGAAAGTAACCACTCTCTCAAAAAAGACAACCAAAACATATTTGACGATAAAAATCAAATTAATATCAATTTTTATGAGGGCAGATATTGCCCCAAGCCCTAGGAGAGGCACTGGCTCCTAGATCTCTGTGGTTTTGATAAAATAAAAAAATCCATATTTTTCTCTCTTTTACTTTTTTTCTTCTTTCTAGAAACAGGCATATGTGAGTGAACAATAAAAACTAATGAACATATTCACTATAGAGGAATAGAGGAATTATAATGACAAGTTGTAATGCATGGAATCACTCCTTTTGAGTACTGGTGGGTGATAATGGTCTTGTGCTTGTGTGCAGAAATGAGGCAGGGTGTGTTTCATAGTGTAGTAAACACCTAGACAAAAGATCTGTAAAGCTAGAATGTATCAAATCAACCTCAAATAAACTTTACCTGCCATTCTATAGGTTAGCAGTAAAAAGAAATATGAAGAAAAAAAGGAATAACATAAAACATTGCCGGCTTTATTTTATGCGAGCGCATATGCGTGTGTTGACTTGTCTACTCAAGTTGTTTTATGTTTACTAAGAGTGTAACTAAACTGCAATATATCTCTGTAGAAGTAGTATTCAAAGCTTATATTTTAGAGTGTAGTGACATGGAACCCTGTTACATCAAGAAGAAAACATGTTTTGGTGATTAGTACAGTTCACTAGTAAATATAGCAAAAAAACATTTAGGTTTTGAATAGCTGTTTGCAAAGTATGTTCTGATTGGGGCTAGGAAATCATTAATAAATGGACCGAATGTCAAGTGTCAATTGAAACAAGCTGTCTTTAAGTACTTAAGGTTTTCAGTTACTACTGAATATTCAGACCTTGAAAGTTGACATATTTCATGTATATTAATGAAGAATGTCCAGAAGATGAAAGGGGAGTAATGGTGAGCAATTTAATTATTTGTTTTTAAATCCAGCTACAACTGCTATGTTCTCGTAATGAACATTTATTTCTATATATCACCAGGCTGTAGGCTTTTAGTTTTTAAGAGATTTGATTTCAATTAATGATCAAGACTTGAATTAAAAAGGGATGAAATTAAATTGATTAAGTTCAGCAGAGGTCATTTTGGCCACTGAACATCCAACCTGTCAAGACCTTGATTTAGAGTAATTTAAAAAAAATGATAGTTGCTTTTGATAAGTCAAGGGAGTCTACCAGTTTAATATGTATGAAAGTAGAGTTACTATGGTTTAGTTGTTCATTCTGTGGACGTTGATTTCAGACGTTAAGGGCTTCCATCCCATCCCTGCTTGAACGTCTTTTGGACAGACATCAAACCATAATTTGCCATTTTACACTAAGGTGTAAATGGGTATTATTATCATTATTGATATCATTCTCATTTTTGTTATTATTATTATCAGATAAATTTTGATACAGCAATTTCATGGAAATTTGATAAATACATTTTATTATATGGTGAAAACTATTCATAATGATTGAGACAGGAAGATGAGTGAAGTAGAAGACATTATGCAATCAATCATGCAGGTTAAGTCACAATTGGATAATGAACGAGACTTCGTTACATGGCTAAATGTGACTTAGCCATTTAACCACTTAACCTTTTGTAATAGGAAGTGGTGAGCCACAGGCGTGAAATTGTTCATTTAAAATAATTGACATGGCATAGGATTTATTCATGGAATCATGTATGGTATGATCTTTTATCTAATCTTTGAGCTTTGTTAAAGTGGAAGTCCACCCTGATAGTAACATGGTTGCATTAGCAGCAGAAAAATTAGAGGAACAGGTCAATGAAAGGTTGTAAAAAATCCGATAAAATTAAGAAAGTTATGAATCTTTGAATTTGTGATCAATCAAATTGTTGGTAACTCTTTTTATATGCATTTATGTTGTCACAGTCATTCACAGTACAATTTTTTTTAATTTTCATGAGAATTTTTCCCTTACCAGAACTCAAGATTATCTTTGAATTTACTTCGTTTTGTATTATATTCTTTAGATTTACATTGATTTGTTTATGCTATTCTTTAGTTTGTATGCGCGTGTGGTTGGGTGTCTGTGTGTGTATGTACTAGGTGAAAAAATGACAATTGACATCTACATTTACTATGGTGGTGCACACTAAAAGCAATTAGTAATTCAAGCCATGATCTTAACTGAATTAAGGTGGAGACACCTTGGCGACGCAGTCTTGATTACACCTAGCTAATACGTGCAGTACACTGGTATCAGATTTAGAATTTCACTATTAATTATATACCATTATTAATAGGGAGAAAGGGTATGTATCTTAATTTTCACTACTTTGTTTGGATGTGTACATGTACTTAAGGATCATTAATAGTGACCAGTATACAGCATTAGTTATGAAAGTAAATACATATGTAGCTCAATGCTGAAATGCTGTTTTGTGCTGTAAAGTTCTAGTGAAATCACAGGACACCAATTCTTTTTCAACCTGATGTGTGTAAGTGACGTGTAGTTATCATTGTGGATACATTCCAACTGCAAATTTAGTTCATTCCAATACCATGTGGAACTTCTTTGAATATATTTTGAGATACATTGTCATATGATTGGATGTTTTTCAACACTTCCTTTTTGTATATTGCATTCCAGAAACTTGATCTTTGATAGAGTTATATCATATTTTACCATCAATCTTCAGTTTTCAGCTCTGCCAGATTACTGAAAGGAAAATGAAACCCAACAAATATTAGCCGATCTTATTTAGGCAGTTAGAAATATCATGAAATTACTCCTATTTGATTACCAAGTAAGAATAAACAATAAAACTGGTACTACTCTGTCACCACTATGTTAATCAAAATGGCGACTCCTATGGGAGAATGGCTAGCGAGGAAACCGCAAACTTTGGAGAGATTGTACCTGGCTCAGATTTTTTTCTTTTTTAATAAAGCTATCAGCTAAACTTTGTTGGGTTTCGTTTTTCTTGATTGAAAGTTCCCCATGTTCCTACTGAAAATGTTTCCTTTAAATACATGTACTATGGAAAGCTTCTCCAATTCTGTTTTTTGTATGATGCAACAAAGTGCTCCAATTATCAACATGGATTTATTAGTAGTATAAATTTCATCTACTTTGTAGAATTGTACATTTACTTTGAGATTTTTAAGTGTCCAAGGAGAAGACTGCATAACTATCTGTGAAAAGGAACTTCAATCCCATCCTATTGGCTGCTCCTTTTGATGGTTTGTATCCTCTTAAAAATATTGATTTATGTTGACTAGATTTTATCCAAATTTATTGTAGGTACTTTCTATTACTTCATTACCAAATATATGTACAAAGATTGTTTTAATCAATAAAGCCTTTACATAATGTTGAGTGTGATGCAGCTAATCACGCTCTCTAATTGATTGTGATAGAATAACTGTTTTATAGTAGATTACTTATCATGAATCACCTGTAATCATTTGCATGTATTTTCAAATAAAGAATGTTATCCCCATTTTTTTTAGCATTATAATCATGTGAATATTAAAGGTTTCATTTGCTAGTTTCTTTAAAATATGAATATCTGGCTTGTAGATGTTTGATCTTGTGAAACAGTAGTTGGTCTATACATTGCATGGGATTAAAAAGAGACAGAGAAGACAGAGAGCGAGAAAGAGAAGAGGGGAAGAGAGAGAGAGAGAGAGAGAGAGAGGGGGGGGGGGGGGAGGGAGAAAGAAATGTGTAGGGAAAGAGTGGGTGGATAAAGTAGATTAAAGGTATATAGTCAAGATCATATGAATTCAATGTGGTGCTTTTATCATGCAAACAAAAGTCTAGAAAGCTATAATAAGGAAAACAAGGTTGTTGATCAGGAATTCTATCTTTTGCTAAGCTTTGTGACTTCTCACCTCCAGTAGAATCATAATCTATGAATTTTAAGCTAAATTTACTTTCATTTCTGGAAATTTACTAAAAACAAACCAGCAACAACAATACCGGTATGCTGTACTCGATTTCGATTCTTTAAAGTGCAGATATTTCACAGCAACTTATTGAGGTTATGTTTTACCCTCTCAACGATTCAAACTTTGCATTAACTTTGATGACAAGTGTCATCAAGGTGTCGGAAGATCATTAACAGTCCTATGCATTTACACAGCACTGACATTCATGTACAGTAGATATACGACATTGAACTTGTGAATCTGGAAATATGGTTATTTTGTCTTCAACACATGCTCATTCAAGCAGGACTTGACAAATATTTCAGATTTTCACACAAAAGATACAGGCACGGTCCCATTTTGTTCAAAACTTGGTGATTCAGAGTGGATGATGAGTTACTCAGGAGGGGGGGGGGGGGGGGGGGGGGGGGGAGAGAACTTATTTGTTGGTTTGTGTTTATACAGTATATTACTGGCACTTCTAAACAACTATCCAAACTAAATTTCAATGGAGTATCTGTTGTAACTTCTGTCATAAACATGTAGTTTGTTGCTTTTCATTAACAATATTGCAATTCTTACTGAAAGAGGTAACCATGGTCCCGTTGCATAAAACTTACCATTGATGGTAACTTTGCCAACTACCTTTGGCAACTACCATGGTAACAGGGCTCAACAGCCAATCAAAATCAAGGTTCCCTATAGGGGCTCTTTTTCAGGGCGCAGTACATTAATAAGGCCATACACATACTGTAGGAGTTGGGTGAGTTGTACTTTATTATGTACGGTGAAGACAACTGGCATGTGAAAATAAGATATATGAGAAATGATCAAAAGGGAAGTACAATACATCATAAGAAAAGGATTCTTGATCATAATTATAAATTGGAATATATGTTATCTCCATTATGATGATCAAACCATTTTAAACTGGTGGAGAACTCAATGCTGAAAATTAAGTTTGTAATCGAATAAAGTACCTTATGTTGTAGATGAGTAATTTGTTGCACTGCGTCATAGAGACACTCCTTTTTGGGGGCTTCACATGGGGCCTCTTTCAGGGCATTTTCCATTGGCAGATTTTTTGGCTCTTCCCAATTTCTCCTTAGCTGCCATTTTGGGAGTTGATCATGATTTACCAGATAGTCTTTGAAGAGAAAGCCCAACTTAGCCCAGCGATATATCCTATATTCTGAACAGTTCACGTTTATTCAAACAATGTTTTAGCTCAATAGAAAACCTTTTGATTTACATTTATTTTGTCATGGACTTTTCCTTCATTGACAGAGTTCTATTTCTGAAGCGTACATATATAAGATTTAAATCGGCCAGAATCTTCAGTAAGATGTCACTTCTATTGCAACAATAAATATCTTTGATCTTCATAATCATAAAATTTGTAAATCCAAAGAATTCATTAATTATAATTGACCATCTTCATGGCAAGAAACTTTTTGAGCACATTGACCACTATTCCCTTTCAATACACTATAAAATCTATCTTGTGATCGCTCAGAGTCAGTGAACAGCGTCAGCATCTAGCTCCACTGATTAAGCCGCACATTCTCGCAAACATGAACACCAGGTTCAGATTAAGGTCCAAGAGTAAAATCTGTGACAATGGAGCAACAAGAATCCTTCACCACCTCAAAGAGGAGGTTTATCTAGAGTAGTAGCAGACAACAGGCTCAGCTCAGCCACTATCCTTTCTTGTGTATTGCATTCTATCAGGATTTCTAATAAGTTGAATACGCTCTGTGCTTCCATCATAAATGGTCTGTGATTGTGATTGGGAGCTACTCCAGTCTGTCATTCTGGATGTTTCATCAATGGTGCTCTTGGGGCTGAGCTGTTGAGGTGTTACATGGCGATGGATGCTTCCTGAAGATGTGGTGGCTCTGTTATTTGATGAAACATTGTCCTGGTTAGGAGATGGTCCAGATACCTAGCCATAAAAAAGAAAAAAAGAGCATTACACATTATTGTTCCAGAAAAAGTAATGAGCTGTCACTGTGTTTGGAGGATTGTTTCTTTATCCTTGTTTGCTTTCCTTTTTGTGAAGAAGACCAAAAGAAAAACATATACTAATTGTACAAGTATTGTATCTTAGCCAGAAGAGGTACATAGATGCTAGGTAATCTAATAAACATATATTTTATTTTATTATCATATGACTAGTTATTATCTAAGGATAATGCATAGTGAAAGAAATTCAGGTGGGTAATAATATCATAATCTGAATGACCGTAGAAAAAATGATTTAAGTACTTATCAATACTGAATGAGAAATCTGAGAATATTGCAATTTAAACATTTTTAGATCAATATGCCTTGGCACAGTGTTAACCAGATATTTACCCAACTAGGCTATCATTTACATGTAGGAGTTCACAACATTCAAGGAATTCTTGTAAGAGATAGCAGCTCTTCCAGATGTTTTTTAATACTGTTACTACTGTTACTACTATTACTGTTACTACTACTGTTACACATGTAAGACATATGTACCTGAGAGAATTGACTGCCAATACTAGACCTGGTTGGCCCTTGGGAGGGGTGTGCTGCCTGACTCACTTTCCTCTTTTTATGGCTTTTATGCCGCAAGCTGTGGGTTGAAGAAGAAGAAGAAAAAAAAACATAAATATTTGGTTCATTGGATCTACATAAATGATACATGTATGTGTAACATATTTCTTGATATCAATAACTGATACCAATAGTGCAAATTTTCAGAAGTTTCAAGAATAGAAAAGTCTTATCAATTTGATAACTCACTTCAAGTGATCTATGTGATGAAGTTAACGCAATTGATATTAGAATATACTTTTTTTGGTGGACAGTTGCTAAAATCGATTTTGATTTATCATTATTGATTTACCAATAGAAGCCATTGGACTATTGATTTCAATAGGGAATTCAGAATATGGGACCAAAACATATAATTTAAAATCGATATCCATATGTTAATTATTTTAACATGAAAGATTATTGGGAAATCAAGTTTACTATGAATACCTGCAAAGAAAAGTATACTTTATGAATGAAGAGTTTCATTACAATTAATACAATTGATTCTGGCATTCCAAGACAAAAAAAAATATGTTATGGTCAATTATGCACCCAAAAAAATACTAGTACATTCATTTATTAATATTATATATTGTATGCATAAATTCTAATAACATTTGACCACAACCAGAGCTAGTATTAACACAAATACCTAGGGTTGTCAGGGATCATCACATTATTCATTTACACTTTGTATTGTACTGAAATTTAATCCCACTTATCCATGTTCATGCCTCCGCCCATCTGGTGTCCAGTGGATACACTGCACACCACACATATGACTGAGACAGACTGCTTTCAAATTGGGCCAATTTAAATTATTTTCCCCCTCATTTGAGTGGTTTTCTCAAATTCGGTGACTGCTATATAAAGTTGAGTTCTGGTCATGCAATTGCATCGTGAAAGAAACAGTGTGGAATCAATCAGAAAAAAGTTGATTATGTAGCATACAGTTTTGGTGTGTACTGCAAGGTTCTGGAACCATCAAAATGATCAGAAATTTGGCCCAGTCTTGGTAAAGTAACAAGCACTGCACACAGAAAGATATACATGGGACTACACAAACATGTGGCATGAAAATGAAGCCCACATTTTTAAGCTGTTACTTGTCATATTTCAGATATGAAGGCATTTGAAGAGACATGCTTTTCACGGATGATTATTTTGTCTGATGTTCTTCCACACTTGCATAATAACAATGAAAACGCTCACAAATTATTTTTCATCTCTCCCCAGAACTCAACCTTCTCTTTTAATCACTTCAGTTACAGGGAGTGGATATTCTCTGATGACCTTCATTGTAATAACATCACTTCCATTCTATGATAACAGACACTCAGAGTATGTTTCTGCTTACCAGTTGATGAGCTCATGAAGCAATGCCATGTAGTTGTTGTACTCAGCTTCACCAAATGGCTAAAGAGAAATTAGGGAAAATAATTGGTCAATTATCTTTTAAATATGGTTGACTCTTTGCCCCCCTCCTCATAAAATATGTGGCCCTCCTGAGGAATAATTTCCCCATCTTTAGGTGATAAACTTGGATTGAACCTTCATATAATAAACAGAAGTCCTTTCTCTGGTATACTGTATATAAATGACTAACATTCCAATAGATATATCAGGTACCAATCAACTTGAAGAGCTTTTTAAGCTCTTACTTCTGTTTGATAATTTACAAAACTTATCATGATAGCACAAATATTTCTAGAGTTATCACCAATTTTAAAGCAAGTGAACATTTTCTATGGAACTTTGCATATCACGTAAGTCAACACTTTCAATACTCAAAATCATGATGTTGCATCTTTTTTTTTAATTTTTAAATCTACGTTCAGTATATATGTACAGTACTGTTATTATCATATTATTAGTATTAATATGCTACGCTTACAGTAATCGCTTATTATGGTTGATATTCATTATGTTTATGTTTTTCTAAAGAATTATATGATATTCATTTGTACATGTATTGAAATGTGTTATTCAGTGATTTATTTTCAATAAAATGGCCTGTCGGAGGGTCCAACAAATTGGGGGGAAAAATACTTGTTTGCACAACTTACCTTGCATCCAAATCTAGCATGCTCGTATGCATCAATGTAAGCCCTGCAGAGTGCATCACTGGCTCCTTTGAGTGGGGTCAAAGGTGAGACTTTAAGCTGCTTGATATGCTCTCTAACACTGAGACCAGTAGGGCGAGCCAGACGTCCGTCTAACTTTTTTACTTGCTCTTCTGTTTAGAAAGAAGTAAATAATAAATGAAGAAAAAAACATTCAGTCTCCAGCGCAAGAGAAGTATAGGAGACTGAAAATCTTCCATTTCATACATGTACATGTAGTTCACTAAATACATCCACTTTATCAGTTTATCTGTCATGAACTCTTTTCCCCATGGCAAAGAAAGAGTCCACCTTGATATTTAATTTGCTTGTAATGAATGCAGAAAAGTAAGAGAAATAGATCAATAAGTTTGAGGAAAATCTGATAAAAATATTAAAAAAATTATGGAATTTTAAAGATAAACTCCAGTTCTGGTAAAAAAAAGAAAACTTACACTGAATGTTCAAGATTACAAATAAATGACATGTGCCAAACAATTTTGGAAGAAAATGTATAATGGCTGAGTAATGAGCATAGAAAGACAAGGAAATCAAGGTTACGTACTAGCCCCGACACCATGTGTGTTGTCCCATATATAGCTTTCTGTGTACAGTGCTTGTTACTTTACCAAGACTCGGCCAAATTTATGATGATTTTGATGACTCCAGAACCTTGCAGTGCACACCAATACTTACATGCTACATGATCAACTGTTTCTGATCCATTCCACACCTTTTCTTTCACAATGCAATCGCATTACCAGAACTCACCTTTATCTTTAAGTTTAATCGATTAAACACAAAGTGGCAACTCTGTGACATTTACTCAGTTCTACGCAAATACATATATTTATAAAAAGAAAATCCCAGATACAATTATTGCACATTTTTTTACCTCCTTCTGTATACAGTTTGTATATACGGTCAAGGATTTTCTCTTTAAGTCCCAGGACTACCAAAATCATGCCACTGAATGACCTATTAGTATTTTAAACAGATAGGTAACAAAGCAATGAAATTTATTCTTACCGAAATGGATAAATGCATCAACTGCTTTCATTCTGTAGACATATGTGCATCTATCTGACTCTGTGTTAGCAAGATACTGCAGCCTATAGTCATCATCTGCAAGCAGTGTTGGGAATCCCTTGATCTGTTGGGTTCTCTGTATCAGATGCTCAATCTCTAACTGTAGTCGCTTTGGAGCACCATGACCGACAGCAGTATGAGGAGCCCTCCGCGACCGGAATTTGAAGCGTGTGATTTGTCGTTTGGCAAAGAGCATAACCATGAGCAGGAACTAGATTTGACAACAACAGCAGAAAAACAGTAAAACCATAAGATTGATGCAAGTCTTTATGCAAATCTATGAGCCAAAACATGAAAAAGAAAAAGTTGCTTAAATCGTCACACATGTTATCTACCGTAATGTCTCAGATCCTCATTACGGTAGATAACTTCACACAGGGGCGCGCCCGCCTGCAACCCACCATCGGTATGCACTTTTATTATATTGTGCAGCGGCTAGCGGTTTGCCGTGAAACCTGAGAAAAAGTGTATACTAATATCATTGTTTTTCCGAAAAATACTACAAAAATAACAAGAAAATTGACACAAAACAGGTAATCAACATAGCGAATTTTAACTCATGATCTTTATTTGGACATTTAATGAATATTTACTTCATTTTGGGTATGTTTTAGTAGGGTATCTCCATGCAGGAGTTGCGGGTCAAATTTTGGATACGTTTCTGAACAAGCGCCAAAACTTTGCAACGTAACCTTAGATTTTTAATGACATGAGCATAAATAGATTCAGCACTTACTATCAGACAATAATTGAACTTTAATATAGTCATACAAATTTAAAGAATATCCATTACCAGGAACTAGGTTTTTTCATGTCACATTTTGGAGTCCTAAATAGGGCCAAAAAATGGGTATTCGGTCACTTAAGGGGAAATCGCTAATATTTTTAATTCTTACCTCTTTTATTTGGCAATCTACCCATCAAAAGAAAAGAAATTTATTCCTCTAACATGATTTTATAGTCACTTAAAATATAGAATGATGATAAGCAAAATAGTTCCGAAAGAAGACGGAGCATTTTTCTGCCCAGAATTCGGTCACGCCGAATAGAATTTGGTCACGCGATTTGTGCGTGGTATCTCTGTTGCCAAGGAGCGAAGCGTATTTGCGCACTATTTTCACACAATTGCGGGATAAAGCACCGAATGTCAATGCGTTGACCGAATACTGGACGAGCGATACCGCATGGCAAGGGTATCGTATAAATACCTCTTGCACATCGGCAAGTGCGTCATTTGCAAATTCGCTGCGATGGAGCGAACACGGAAGAGCTCCTCTTCACACACATACTAAATTCATTGCGACAGCACACGTAGTTGTTTCGCAATAGACTTCTACATATGGCTATGCATGTTAGCGCAGAAAGTGCAGAAAGTTGCGCGACACTGACCAATTTTGAGCTAAGTTGGAGATCTTTCCGGGGCCTTAAAATAAGTTAAATCCGATTTAATTTTAAGAGTTAATTAAGAAAAGTTGTTCAGCTGCCAGATTTGTGCAAGTAGGGAGGCCAATGCCCAAATCTAACTTTTTAATTACTAATTTGTTTATACTAAAACTAAGATTAAAAGAAAGCATTTACTTTCACTAAGAAAATCCACCCATCTGCCGACTCCAGAAGTTCCATCAAATAGAAGATATCCAGCTAGTTCCTATGAGGTTCCTTCTACGCCTTTCCGTACGTACGAGCCTTGAAACAATTATATTTCATGTCGCAAAGTTACGTTCATAATTAGACAGGCCTGAGGGACAAAGTTCATGATGAAGTTTAAAACTTCGCGCGAAAGTGCAATCACTCAACAGCGGCTAGCCTTGAATCGGTCGCACACGTACACACCTTCTTCTTCTTAGTTGATCCCACCACCGACACAGGCAAGCCCCGATGCAGGCTGAAGTCCAGCCATCAATGTGCGAACGATTACATCTTCTACTACTACGAGCCGAAGACGATGGTTCAAAAATGAAGAATAGAAATATATATAATTCATTGATATTTACCTTAGATGTGCATTCCAATATTTGATTTCCTCATGAGTATTCCTTATTATCAACGATCGAGAAGTTACGAGGTCCAATTAACATCCATCTTGCAGCGAACACAATCATAGCGCACATCCATGCATGCAACGTACGTGTACTAATATTTCTCTCACTCTCTCTCTCTCTCTCTCCCTTTCGCTATACGTAACATACACACTCACTAACCATGTATCATACAACACACACCTTCAAATCATGGCTTTCATTTCAATTCTCAATTGGAGTATAGACTGCTCACGTAGACTTTTTTTTTTTACTGAAATATCTTTTTTAACACTTCTCATACATTACTGCACGACACTCGTATCTAGTGCTGTGAGAATAAGGTACTAGGGTCTATAAATAAGACTACGCTTTGCGCACGATCTGACCGGAGCTCAGATTATGTCGCAATACCCTTTATTTTTGGCGCGAACAATGACGTCACTGTTCACTGTTTTCCTTCTCATTTTGAGATGGATGTAGCTATAGGGCTCAAACCAACGCACGATTGACAGAAACATCGTACTCTATCTACTTTCGAATGTTCAGTTTGTAAAAATCTGTATTTAAAAAGATATAATCTTTTTTCTTTATATTTTCTAGTTGTTAGAAGTGGCAATTGTGAACATCTGAAATGTTGATCTCTATCAAAAGTTCTTTACTCAAAACGGATCCCATATTTTTAGGGTCTACCTTCTGCCAATGAGAAGGTTTTTAGTGAGCAAACCTCTACGCCCTCTAGGATTTTCTTAGTCGGTGGTGCGAGTGCGTCAAGGTCGTCTGCAACCACAATTATTGGATTAAAAAACGTCAAAATCTGCAAGATTGTCAACAAATGGTGAAAGACTGTTACAGATCCGTGATTATAGGTATGTTGTGAAATGTATAATTGTATTTTCTTTTCTTATTTTCTTCAATTTTTATTTTTACATCATTTTTTTCCCTTTGCTAATTTTTTGAAGTGGGCGACGAGCGCACAAATCGTAAGTGTAGAAGCCTTACGCCCGGGCATTGGCCTCCCTAGTGCAAGTTTCGTGGCTCATAAATTATTTTTTAAATTGTTACAGCTGTTGAAACAGCTGTCTGACCGAATACTAGGAATTGACCGAATACTGGGCGCGCTGGCCTACATAAAAAATTGAACCAGGGGCTCTGAAACACAACGTTATTTAAGTTATCTAATACTACACATATTGACATTGCATTGTTGTAGGAGTTGGTTAAGTGACCATACTGCCATGTGTATGAGTGGGTCTAACACTAAAATTCTGAACAGATAGTCTACTACAATATTAAACGTTAATTAAAGAATACCGAACGGACGTAAGATGAATATGACTTACCAAACCTCCGAATCCTCCTATGAGAATAAGAGTTGTCGGTAAAACCGGCGATAACTTAGACATGCTGAAATATAACGTTAAACAAGACGCTCTGTGAAACTAGTAGTATGATGCACTCCAGCAAAGCATAGATCTAGAGGTCAATGTTAACACGTATTAACCTTTAGCACTGCATAGTTGCTGTGAGGCGGGTATTAATAGATCTATACACAAATATACACACCACACAATATTGCATAGACTGCACACAATATCACCGATTGGGCTGATCGGCAAATTTGACACTAGACTTACAATTTGAATTTTTAAATTATTCTTTTTAATATCAGTAAGTTAAACATAATGTATTTTACTGCTATTTAGGTGTCATCAATCGTCACTAAAGCACCAATTTGAGTGAATTCATTTGAGTTTTGTACAGTGGTGTTTAAAATTTTGAGCATCAAAAGCACAGCTTTTACTACATAGCCAAGATAGTAATGCCCCTATGTGTGGTATGATGCTGATGATGCTCTGCAGCTCTGTCGATCGTCACATCACAGCTAGCTGCACTGTTCTGTGGGTATTAATCCAGTGTCTGCAAAATGAGCCTAGGCCTACTGCATTAATTATCTCGGATTTCTATTTTAGCGCAAGCTGAGGAGGAGCCCGCGGATACATTTGAGGACAAATTTTGAAATCGCCCCCATATATACAGAGTCAGAGGTGGAACCGAAGGGGGGGGGGGGCACCCTCCCCTCCCCACCCCTTCGGCGGCCTGAGGAAGAAAAAAAACGGGGAAAGAGAGAGCGAGAAAATAAAGAGAAAAGAAGGTATAAGGAGAAGAAGATAGGAAAAGGAAAGAGAGAGAGAGAGAGAGAGAGAGAGAGAGATGTTGTTTTTTTTGCTACCCAATTAATTTAAGTATTGGATATTGAATTGCATGGAAACCCCCATCGACACTGCAAGATATGCGTAATAAGCACATAAATGTATTTAATTCGCAGTGGCGAATCGGGTCTGATGGCTGTAGCCCCCTTTATTGGCGGCCTCAAAAAATGGAAAAAGACTAGAGAGCGATGGAAGAAAAAGGAGGGGAAAAAAAGAGAAAAGAAGGCAACAGAGAAGAGGATAGATGGAGAGAGGAAAAGGAGAGAAAGAGAGAGAGAGAGAGAGCATGTGCGTGTGTGTGTGTGTGTTGAGAGAGAGAGAATTGGTTTCCAACAAAATAGCCAATATGTGCAGTGCAAATTTCAAGGGACGAGTTAAATTTCTGTTGACCAAGATGGCTATCAGATTTTGAATTGCTTAAACTTAAGTGAGAGCGTCCATCAGGGCCCTGTCCCCTGCACCATAATATACAGAGGCCCTAATACAAGGAGTATCTCAGTTTGAACCTTAATCAATCTGAAACAGTAAGACCCAGACAAAAAGTTTTGGCATGTTAAGTAAACGAGAGTAAAGAGCAATTACCGGTACTCAGCTTTTTTCTGATCATTAGGTCATTATTTGGTTCAAATGTCGGACTATAGTTTTATCAGCTTTAAAAAAAACACAGACACATTTTGTCCATAACTTACTTACCTGTATTTGTCTTGGTCTTACCGTTTCATACTGAACATGCTCTTTTCTCTCTATTTCCTGTTCCCTAGCTCACATTCTTTTTTTCTTTTCTTGATGCCCCCTCCCATCTCTATCTCTCCCTCTCTCTCTCTCTCTCTCTATTTTTCACTCTTTCCCCCTCCACTCCCCCCCCCCCCCTGCATCCATTGATTTCGAGGGAGAAGACAGCGACCAAGCCTGACAATTTTTAATTTTAAAAAAATAGTCATAGAAAAATATTGTTTGGCCAAGCTTTTAAAAAGTCATTTTATTGACATTACACCTTTTGATTCCCTTGGGCAATCAACTTTTTCCCCAATCCTACAGGGCATAAAGGGGGCCCAAGATAAAATTTCCTCTGTATTTCTGATGAGAACCTGTTTTCTCTTCTGTTAAATGGCCTTTTCTTCTCTGAGTGCCCCCCTTTTGTTTCTTATAGTACACTTTCTAATACGTGCCCTGTTCCCCTTTCATGGGTTTTGTCCCAAGGGGTAATTGCCATGGTCTTTGTCAGGTGGTGGTATTGTCCAGGGGTCTAGAATCTAGCCCACATGACTTTGGATTATACTGTAAATTATGGTGTCAGAGCAAAATAATTGTACGTGAGGTGTAAAGTAAAAACTCTTTTTTATTTTTTTTTAATTACAATCTTTCATTCTAATCCTTATGACATCCTGAAATCTGGTGCTTTCTCATTGGAAAAGCACATGTGGACGGAGGACCTTACAAAAGAATCGCGACTACTTCGAGTCGGCCACCCAGTGCAATCTTGCCTGACTGCTCAAATTTCAATAAGATAAGATGAAACACACATTATGAGTCTATTCATAGTGATAATAGCCACAAACTTTTTAATAGGGTCCATGACATTTTGGCGTAAAAATTCCTTTACAAATATATATACAATATCACTGAAAATTAATTTTCTCATGATACACTTACTTGTTTTTACGGGAAACATATTCGAAGACTTCAGAAAACTACAAAACAAAGAACCAATCTCAATATTTGTATAGCCATCTTGACAAGAATGATTTTTTTTTGATCCAATCCAAAGCTCAAATGCTATGTCCAAGACAAAAAAAGGGAGACCATATCTGGACTTGAAAATATATTGTGTAAACACCACTCACAAGAATAATCAGATTGTTCACAAATATATTCAGGGGAAAATCCATACATCTGTTGCAATAATTTCATTCAGATATGCACACAAAAATCTGATATTTAAATCAACACAAAGTGCAAGCTTTCATGATCTTCAATGACTGAAATGTTTGCATTTTAGATTTTTGTTGTTACCAGTTTAAACACAACATGAACCAACTCTCCTGAGCAATCCAGTCACTAATATTCTATTGAAGTTTGGACTAATGTGCAAAACATGGAAATTGCACATGCTTGCAAATGTATTATCTTATCAGTGGAAACATAACATGGAATTGTACAGCAACAATATGGAATTTTATAACCACCCCCTTCATGAGGGTCAGGGTCATACATAAGAAGGAAATAATGTATTTAATACAAAATAAACTCAAATCCTAACCAAACAACACACAACATTTAAGCAATATTAGTCACATGCTGACCATGCTCACGAATCTTCCGTTATTGAAGACTTTATAAACCCACGCTACTATTTCAAAACTTGATTCAGCATGTGTACTTTTATAACAGACGTACATTCCATGCCCAGAATGCCTCTAGTTTATGTATTTCATAGATGTTAAATATTTAATAGTGACAGAAGTTTTTTGTTTTGTTTGGTGTTTTTTTAATTGTTGATGCACACACACTACAAATTCAGGAAAGGGCAAAATTTATTTCCAAGGTCCTTTCAATAGATTCTTCCCACTAATGGCATCAAAGCAATAAACTATTGAAGAACACAAATCTTCATACAGGGTGGTGCCATAAGCCTTTCTTTAAACAAGTTTACAAAAGTAAAAGGGTTAAAAAAAATGAAGGCGAATTCGTCTGCAATTATTTCACAGACGTTGAATTATTAAATTAAACTGCGAGTCTTATCATCATTTTCCACCAACATATATAAACAATGAGAGATGAATCTTTTTTTATTTTCTCAGAACTTTCATTTTTACTGTTCATGATACCAACCTATGAAATTGAAAGAAAATACTTCACTCGATCCTCCATCTTCTTTCTTTCTTTCTATTTTTTTTAAAAGGTGATATGGATACCATATCAAATGTAAGGCCTTATACAGTGTATATTTAATATCTTATGGATATTGGGGGATACTGCTACATTACCTACAAAATTTAGTTGAGAGTAGTCAAGTATTTTTAAAGATGTTGCCATAAAAATCTTGTTGCAATATTTTTCACTTATAACGTCCCACATTTCTAAGACCAGGTGGGGCTTTCCCTACTGTACATGTAGTCTTTGCGTCCTGTCCATCAATTCTATTTTCAAAAAAGAATGTTAGGGGAACCCATTCCCCAACACTAACTATAGATAGCTTTTGGGGCATCTATTTACTTTCAAAAGTAAACAACTAAGCATCATATGAAAATATCCCTACAAATTTGCGTCCTCCCTTCCCTTGACTAGAGGTATATGTGTGGACATTAATGTGCAGTGTTTTGAAATGTTTGTAAATGATGGGTTTGTTCTAAGTATGAAAACATGTGTATGCTTGTAAGTAATCAACCAAGGGACCAACATCTTCAAGTCATCTCCATGATAAAGGACATACCAAAGGGCACTAGTGTGTTGACATGGTTTTGAAAGAGGGACCTTCGTGTTACAAGACCACTGCTCTACCACTGTGTCATTATGCCTCCTTTAGAATTAATCCTAGACCATTTTGGAATGTGCTTGCAAGTACATGCACATCTTGACAAGTACATTTTGTCAAAAGTGTGCACAAATGGTATGAAATCAACTCTAGAATCAATCCTGACTATTTTGGAATGCGCATGTACTTGCCCATGTTGATGTTAGTTTGTGCAAATTTTTATTTATTAATAAGGCTCAAGACATTTGAAACAATTTGCAATGGATCTTAGATCGTTATCCTAACTATTCCGTGAGGGAATTCACACTGAAGTTGAAAGTGGTGTTAAATTTGGGGGTGAGAGCAGTCTTACAAAAATGATGACATTGCCATCAGAGTATGCATTGCTCCAGCTAAGTAGGCAAGACTAAGAAAAAATATTATAAAAAAATGAAAACACACAAGATGAAAATGACTGCATCTCTAATGTGCCTCTGCCTCAATGTATGTTCAATGATCAACAATCCTGACTGCGTTCTTGCTCACACATCCTGCTGATGTATGCCCTTGTGCGCACCAGCCAAATGACCAAGCAATATGGTGGACAATGGCCTCTTGAAGTGCATGCCCTAATATGATGTACAGTGCGTATGAAAAAAAAAGTTAAAACATATGTGATCTATGTGGACTTTCATGACGCTTTTTATATCTGTACCAGAAAATTTATGAACAGGGTATCAAGACAGAAATCGGGTTACTTTTTAGTATGAAATATATTCAAATTTGTTATGACTCATTAATTATAAAGTTGGGTATCTATTTTTTGTTGACACACACTGTACAGGAGGAGATCTAAATGCAATGTGATGCTATGTCAAACAGGTATGTAACACTATAGATGCCTATAATGCATGGCTCATTTATTTCTACCTTTCTGGAAGTCCTCTAACATCACACCATGTACTTCTGTTCATCTCCATAAGGTGTAGATCTCTTGGAGTAATAACTATGATCTAACTGATAATATGATACTCTGTATTATCATTCTGGATGCATACTCTTTACAAATCAAACTGTCTACTTCTAGGCGGCGAGTTCTACAGCAGCCCAATCCCATGCCTACAAGATAATGTGAAACAGCATACATCCCTGTATATACATGTCAATTTATACACCCATATTCATCAAAGATGTTTTAGTTGAACCTGGCTAAACTTAGTCCACTAATGAATATAGAAGGCCAGGTGGCAAACCCTACGTTCCATATAAATACCTGAAATCATGTCACAAAATATAGACATCAAATGACTTTGGTTATGAAATGAAAATGGGAAGTAAGTTCATAATGACCAGTTTATTGACTTTTTCATTTATTTATACAGAATGATGGTACTTTGTACAGGATGAAAAGGTTGATACTTTAGTACTCCTTACATTGATGGAATAAATCTCTGATCTTATGCTGGCTTGAAAGTGGCTTCAATTAGCCCCATAATAGAAAGCAATTGGGAATACAGGCCATCCAATTTGAGTTCTGCATAATGATATTAGAAGAGTTTTGTACATTGCATATGCAAAAACAAGATGGTGATAACAAAAGTGAACTTCTTAGACTCTTAGCACAAATCAAAGAGCTCTAAAAATATTACTATTAGTCTAGTTATCAGAACCACTCAAGGACTGTCTCCTTTATCTGGGGGGTATTCTGAGTGTCTGATCACATAGTCATGGAGGGGGGGGGCATGTTGTAATTTACAGCCGTACCGACCATATGTGCATTGAAAATCAAAATTCTTGTCAACATGTATTCCAGCCATTAACGATTGAGTTACAGAAGGGACTTTTCAAATTACATTCACTAAACTGATATTTTTAAAGAAATATAAACGTAACATACATGAATGGAATGTCAGAGTCTTTATAAAACACTACTAATTATACACCTTCCTTTTTCATACACAATACTGGTATCTCATGACTGTATTGGTAGAAGAAAATATCAAGGACAAGACAGCATTGCAAGACTGTTCTGCTGGCCAGTGTTTCCAAGTTTGTAGGACTTAGGCAAACATAAAGACTTGTGACGGTTTCATGAGACAATGCTAGATCTGTAACAAAAGCACATCTACTTTGTACAATCTGATTCTGAGAGAAAGATTTTGTTAAACTCAAAACATGATTATCTGAATAAGTTAACTATGTTTAAATGGAAATGAATTAAAGAAAAATTATACTGTGAAACAGAGCAACATGCTGTGATTGATCAAAATATTACCTCCATCAAAATACAGCAAGAGATAATATTCATAAATGTGTAATTATTAATAAGACAGGTTCAAGTGACTTCCATGTAGATGTCGGCAAGATGACCAACAGAAGAGGGTTCAGCATCTCAGATCAAAACAAACTTGGGCAATAGGACTGTATGAATTAAATACAAGGCAACAATCAGATTGTGTCTCACCCACCTGCAACCAATTTACAAGAATGTCTCTAAGGAGCATCCCTGACCCGTTGGACCCTAGTCTATTTCTCTTGATTTTTTCGGCTTTCCTCAAGAGTAATTTGCTATCAAGGTTGGACTTCCCTTTCATTTTTTGTTTGTACATAGCATACAAACAAAAAAGTATACCTAACTTTGGTAGCTTTTAATCAAAAAGTTATAAACTGAGTGGCCTTGATTTATATTTCATGATAAAATCATAAAGAGCAATTAATATCTAGTCTAATGATACCTTATTCATATTTGCGCCGCCCCAAATGACTGATCAGTCACAGGCTTTTAAAACGTATTGTTAAAATCCTCTTGTACAGCAATGAATGTGGTTTAAAAGCCATTAAGCAATTATAACTTCAGTCTGAAAATAATTGATGACCCTGGTACTCAGATCCATGGCTGACAATATTGTGAACATGAAATCATTAGACAGAAAATGAGTTGCTCTTATCATCAAATATATTTCAAGGTCACATTGTTAATTAGGGAGCTAAGATAGTTGGACCTAATTCTTTATTTTTAAAGCACTGTATGTGTTATGTAGATGGATTTTAGCTAGCCAATTAGCATTGGAGTGATGGATACAGTAGATGCATCATAACTAGGCCGGCAGAAGGGATCAGCCTGTATTCTTGTTTATTGCTCTTCAGCCTGATTTCTAGAGTCATTATCAGTGGCATTTGCTATGTACAGTATGTTATGTTTATTCCAAGGGGTGACACCGTTTGATTTCTTTTTGAAGAAAAGCTATAATGGCTATATTTTGCTTAAATCTTACTTTTATGTAACAGGCTTGACTGAATTGAAGAGAGAGAGAGATAGAGAGAAGAAAAAAAATGGCAACCCTTCATGAAGACAACAAAAATAGACTTATCATTAGAGGATAGTGGAGAATTAATCCAACAACTTGTGATATGAAGCAAGGAAATGAAATTCACGCTCATGGCAGGAGTAAAGGCACGGGTGCCTTTGTAATAAAGAGTTGGGACTGAAGCATGAAACCGATAAGGCTTAAAGGAAAGTCCACTTTGACATCTAGTTGGTTTTAATAGAAGTAGAACAAGAGGAATGTGACTGCGCCTTGCCTCCACATATAGGTATGTTTATTGATCAATGATCATGTGACCTTTAGCATCTGACCCTGTGAACCCTTAATCTAATCAGTTCATCCTTGAATGCTCATACACAATTCATTCATGTTTGTTTTGGATTGGTCAATGCTTTTTATGTTATCAAAGCAACAAGATGTATTCTGGTATTTTTAAATGCTTTTATAACCCTGTGACCTTTGACCTTCGAGTTCTTACACCCAAAGACTAATCACTTCATTCCTGCATGCTCATTCATACTTCAAACAAGTTTGGTGTAAACTGCTTTATTGCTTTTCAAGTTTAAACGCCATGGTAACAATATATTTTCTGGCAATTTTGAACACTTTTATGACTCTGTGACTTTTGACCTATTTGACCCAAAGTCTAATCAGTTCATCCATGCATGCTCATACATACTTGATAAAAGTATGATTAAAATATGTTCAATGCTTCTTGAGTTATCGCTGTAATGAAAAAAGAGCAGGACGGACAGATGGACAACCCGAAAAACAAAATGCCTCCGACACCATCTTCGTTGGCGGAGGCATAAAAATACATGTAATAAAAACTGATTGGTGAAAGTTTGAGCAAAATATGTTTAAACTCTGTAGGACTTATTGGAGTTGATCAAACACAAATTGGCAACTCTGTGATGTATCTTGGAAGGTCCCCTCCCATTTGCTCCATACAACAAAACAAATATGTTTTTACACAACCCCTGTATGAAAAATCTATTCCTTCATTAACAACTAAGAAAATGAAACTTTATGAAATTTTTTGTACAGAGCAAATTAGAGAGTACTTGGTAAGATCCGTCACAAAGTTGCCAATTTGTGTTTCCAGATTAAAACTTCAAACTATCTCAAATTTTTTTCTCACATTTTTCTGCAATCAGGGGGGAATTCCCTTTAACGCATGTAGTTTTCACATGTAAACCAAAGTTCTGTACGAGAAACTTCAAATGCGAATGGTCACTCAAAACTACTATGATATCTACCTTTACATGATTACTGACAAACAAATTATAAGCTATAGAATAACATGTGGTTGATTTTCAGTGCTTTTTGTTTTTTGCACCATGATTTACCCCGTTGAATAGATCAACAAAACTTTGGTCCAAATCACAACATGACAGAAAGTAAAGAAATAAAAATTCATAGAAAACTAAGAGCATAATAATAATATCAAAACATCATTGTCACTTGCTGTCCATAATACAGCACTGTATCACATGAATACTTGGTCATTGATAGTTTGTCTCCTTAGGAACACAATGTGATACTTGATAGATACAGTAGGCATCCTTTCCCTCAAAGTTCATAATCTGACGAGGTTGAAAATAGAGATTTCTGTCCTGTCAGATAAGCTCCTGTACACATTTAGTAGATAACTTCATAGACTGTTGCTTTCTTGTCACCTGATCCTGTCACAATGAATTTGTTGTCCACTGAGATATCACAGCAAAGCACAGATGACGACTCTTTGGACTACGGCACATGAAAAACAAAAGAAACAAGAAAAAAGAAAAATATGTTAACAGAGGAATCTGTCAATTTTCTCACCCCTTTAAACAGTATATTCATTACAGGAAGTACATCCAATTTCCTACATGTGCAATTACCATTCAAATGATTATTGAGATGTGGATTGTAAAATCATTCTAGCACTCAGTAGTAGCTGGAAAATGTCACAAATCTCTCTAGGCCACATTGCTTTTTTACTGTCCAATTTATTTCTTGTCAAAAGTATGAAATATTACATGGGCCTTAATATATGACTGGAAATGGGGCTTTTTAAAGCTGTAAATGGCATATAGTAGTAAAAGGGTTTGGCAAAAAAAGTCTGATGCATTTTACACGGTCTTGCCACTTTGGAGCAAAACAAAAAGTGAATTCCTCAGAGAGCATCAAATTTTGTGAGAAAAAAAAGGTGAGGATTTTCAAATGTGCTTTCTTTTTCTGTTCATCTCGATATTGGTAATTACATGCTGTGAACTGTTTCAGTACAGTCATGTCATACAGTTACAGTGTACAGATTCTTATTCTTTTATGACCAACAAAGTTTAAGCAAAAACGAAATATAATACAAGCAAGGGAGTGTGATTTTAATGCAGAAGGTTATATACAGTCAAACCTGCTTTAGTGACCACCTGTTTACAAAGACCACATTTTTTGTTTCCCTTGAAAATGGTTCTCATTGAAACATGGGCTAAAGGAACCTTCTGCAAAGACCACTTTTTGTGTTTCCCTTGGACGATCACTATAGACAGGTTTGACTGTAGTACTTGTAGTAATTTGCATGTTTGATTTGAAAGAAGAATATTCTCACCTGGAATATGCTTGCGCCATAGGGAGTCCTCCATGCGTTGAGGAGGTTATCTTTTCCTGTACTGACAAACCATTTGCCACAATGTGCAAACTTGAGAGAAAGGACGCAGCTTTCATGTAAGTGTAGCTGGTACTTATCAGGCTTGGTGTGATGAAGAACTTCCACATTGCTGCTCTCCATGCTACATCACAATACACACACAAAAAAGAAGAAGAAGACGTAATATTTGGTTGTTCTCAAATAGGATGCAAATACTGTAATATAAAACATGACACATACTATACATACATATATATATATACATATAGACCTGCTAAGACTTAGTTTCCAGACAGCAGGACACATACTGTAAAGCTAGCATCTGGGACTATATAACAAACTGAGAGTTCAAGTAATATTATTCAGTTCTTGTATAGCACATATGACGTTATATAACGTCTCTATGCGCTTCCAAGGAGCTTTGGAAATTATAACCCTAGCTTTAGCTCCGGCAGCTGTAATCAGCGCACAGTGCATTTCAAGGAATAATCCTACCAGGTACTTATTTACCTTACCTGGGTCAAGTGTGGCAAAATGTAGATTAATATCAATAATATACATATATATATTTATTTATTCATTTATTTATTTCTAATCTTTTACAGGGTAGCCCATTCACCAACAAGTAGTGGTCTTCCATGGGGCCCTGAATGAACATATTTACATCTATATTTATATTTATATATGGACCTGCTGAGACTTAGTTTTCAGACAGCATGACACATATGGTAAAGCAAGCATCTGGGACTATATAACAATTTCAGAGTTCAAGTACAAAGCCCCATGTGTCTTCAGACACTGACAAGCCAAGTACAAGACCTTCAGAGACTTTAATTGTTTTGGAATAAAAGTGCTCATGGATCTAAAATCTTTCCTGCAGCTGTAGGATTTGTTGTAAATGAATGGCAATGCATCAAAAGGCTACTGAAAAAGATCTCAAATCTTGTCTTGCGATCATATCCAGATATTGGAGAGTAGGGTGTGTACTATATAATTTTTTCGATTCGCCGAAGTGATATTATGATCACGATGGAAAATATAACTCCCTTGCAGTCCAAAGAATGTATATCAACCCCCTTCCAGCCATTATCTGTTATATTAGATAGCCTTTTTACAGTTTTGTTACATAAAATTGCGATCTCATGCCTTGTTTTTTACTCGAGCAGTCCAGCCTTTCACGTTTAATACATGCGGCTAAGACAATGCAAACAATGAGTATGGGGTTAATAAGCGCAGGGTTGCTTGGACACTGTTTGACACAAAAATATTCTCATTTGAACATATGGTCAAAATTGCCATCAAACCGGGAGGGCAATATGCTAATTACGATCCTTGCAATCGATATCAAGTAACAAGTTATGCACCAATCATATCTTTTTATCTGTAAGAGCTATCTAATATTATCGATTGAATCAACTGAGAAGAAAGTTGACTCAAAGTTGGCCAAGGTAATTACATCAAGTCCATAATAATATGAATGTTCAGCTTAAAATGTTGTAACTCTTCAAATTACAAACACATTGATTTCTTTCTTCAATGTGCTTTTGAAAAATATCTATAAAAACAAAACTGTTTTGCGCTATGAATAGGACTTTCATTTATTTCAATTTTGTTTTCATATCTGTCTTGCTGCCCACATAACTTGAATGATTAGTCCCACAACGCTTAATAGTACTTTTGACAGAATATGACATGTTGAGTGTGACAAACTCACCCAACAGCAAGCCATTCTCCTGAAGGACAGTATCCCAAAGAAAATATCTGAGATGTGAAGTCATGTTGCTGCAGTTGTCTTCCCTATTAAACAAACAAAAATAACATGTAAATCAAAGAGATTTCAAACCTCTTAATTCCAAAAGAGCAGTAAAACATTTGAAGAAAAAAAGGCCTATGATATTGAATCATTGAGTAGAAGGAGTAGAGTTTTCATCAAACTTAATTTGGCATAATTATGCCATGAGACCTATCACACAATCCTATGAGACCCTACATGAATATTTAATCACATACAAATCTTGAAAGCTGCCTAGGCATAAAAATCTCCACAGATTTAAATCATTTCATTCCTTAACTAAAGCAGACTATATAGCTAGTTGTATAAAATCAAATAAAGAACAAAAATTCTATACCTCAAATGCTTAGAATAAAGAGTTCAGCAGTATGAAGAAAACGTTACAAGAAAACATAAATAAAATTCCCAAACATGATAGGGCATTTGATTCAAACTAGCGTTCCATGCCTCCTTTTCAGTCTTACACTATACACTAATTGGTCCTCTCTAACATCTGTCAATGAATGAGAATTCCTCATTTGAAATGTGTTTTACATTACTGAGCTTGAAAGAATATTCATTTGCCAAAGTGATTCATAGTGATACAAGTTGGATGACTAATGACTAGATAGACCAAATAAAGAATTTATAATCAGGAATAAATTGTATTTTTCTCACCACTGAACCAAAAATGTTACTAACCTCTCTGAGATCCCATGATCTTACAGTGTTGTCCAGACCCCCTGTCCATAACTTTGAGCCATCAGGTGATATATCAATGCAGCTTGCTCCATCCGTGTGGCCCTGAAATTGCCTGCAAGGGTCGTGTGAGGAAAATGGAAATATTAAGAATATGTCATGTGTTCTGACAAGGTACAGTGCATTGTCACTGGAGAAGAATTCATTCAGTCTGGCATTCGATACAAAACTTGGACGAGGGTGATCCGAAGAAAGACAAACTTTGGACGAGACAGGATAAGTCCAACGTTCGCTGCCCTCAAAATCAGTCGCCCGTAACTGCTGGGAGGACAGCATGATTGTTGACAACAATGATGATGCCTGAAATAGTGATGCCTACCTATGTCTTGCTTTGCTATGCAGGCAAGATACAAAATCACTTATGAGATATTTTCATCAAAAGTTTCTTCAACACACATGTCTTTGGTAAATTTAAATCTCTGATTTTTTAATTAAAAATCAAGGTGACTTAAATTGCAAACGACCCTGCCTGCAAACAAATATGAATGGTGCAATGTACGTCTGGACAAAGAAAAGCTATGTATTCTTTCCTAAAAACATTTTAAAAAGTTTAAGTATTGTAAAGATTGTTGCCAAGAAATATGTTTTTGGCTTAGGCATAGGAAACAATTGATTAAACTGATTGTTGAACTCTTATGAGCTCATCAAAGTTCAAATATCCAAAAAGTAAGTAGCACATACATCAAACAATTAAAATAGGCTATGACAAAGTGCAAATAATCAATAACTTCCTTCACTTTCAAGAATGGAGAGAAAGAGTAGACTTACCTGACAAGTGTTTGGTTATGAAGATCCCATACAGCAATGTTACCATCACTACAGCAGGAGAAGCATACCTTGGAATCAGGGCTGATGGCCAAAGCATAGCAGGCTGGAGCACTGGATGTCAGCTCTGCTTTAATACGAGGTGTAGCCTGAACAATACAAACAAGTCAAAACATCTCATCTATATCTGCTCTCAGACCTCACTTGATTGAATTTTTTTGGGGTAATGAACTGAATGGAGGATTCGACACCGTCTTTACATATTTTGCTGCATATTCTCAATTACTGCACTTTATGACACAGGTATATGTCTCTATTTTAACCTAGCACATTTTCAAACCAAAGTATATATATGAATATAGGACTAACATTACAATATTTTCAGTTATATTTTTATTAACTTTGCAAATCAATATTTATATCCTTATTAATCTTTAAATACAATTTAAAACACTTGAATATCAGTATTTCAAACCACTGCACTTTGACTAAAATGTAGCAGTCTGTAAAATGTGGCAGTCTTTAGCCAACTTCATGCCCATGGTTCGAATCAATTTGATGCCTAGAACTTTATCAATGACCATGTATACTGATAGATGAATGAATAAATAAATGCTTCAGAAAAGTGTGGAGGTAGTAACTACTTACTGCTGCTAAATCCCATATGGATAGAGTACTGGCTTCGCCTCCAACCAGGAGTGTTCTACCATCAGGTAGTAGCTTGCAGGATCGGATGTAGTTATCTCGATTAAGACAGTCTAGTTGAGATACTGGACTTCTGTTACCTGACTGACTGATATCCCACACCTTCACACAACCCTACAAAAAAAACAAATAAAATATTTTATGAATGTAAACATAAATGCAATGACATTGAGTAATTTGTCATTCATTTGTTTATTAGAAAATGGAATTAAGTGAAGAAAGCAAATGGAGAAAGCATTATTGTAGCTGTTTTGACAGGTATGTGAATTTGTTCTTCAGAAGTCACACCAGGGCCCCGTCTTACAAAGAGTTGATCTCAATCGCAACTTATTTGCGATTGATATCAATTGCAACTATGTATATAAGATATAGGAGACTGCAAACTTGCTATTGATTGGAGGACTTGTGATTGATTTGGATCAATCGCAACTCTTTGTAAGACGGGGCCCAGAAGTGTAAATAAGGAATTTGAAATTAATGTTCAATTTTGCCAAGCCCAGCTTATGTACATTCACAATAGAAGTGGACCCTGATTTTTGTTTACAGAGTTCAAACACCTGTTCCGCCATTAGGCGTTTATTTATATACCATATTCAAAAAGTTCGTTCCGCCCCTATCTGCCAACTCAACTGCTCATATGACTACTTTAGTAATAGCGCAGTCTGTTACCAACCAAATGTACATGTACTGGATGTATACTAATGCATCCAGCCTACAGAAATTGACCACACCTTTTGCTGGGCTGAGATACGAGGTCAAACATTGAAAAGGAGGAATTTAAAGGTCTGTAAACCTCAGACATTTAAAGATGGCGCCCAACAAGACCAACAGGAGTTTGGAGAAGGAAAGAGAACTGACCAGAAAATTTGACAGAAATGAGCCCCATAGAGAAACTATGGTCTATTATGAAAGAAAAAATATTGAAACTCAATACTGCAAAACAATAACTCAACTTAAAGAGGGGAACCGGTGAGCATAGAAAAGCCTAGACATGAATAAGGACCTCCTTGCGTCATTAGTGGACGATAACTGGACCAAGCATGTTTCACAGGTGATCGACCACCAAGGAGAGATACATTTTTAATAAATTGGGATGTGACATCTCTAATAATGCTTAGAAATGAGAAAATTAACAAAATAACCTGAGTTTTAAACACAATAAAATGCTTTTCTGTAGGGGGGCAGAACGAACTTATTGAACACCGTATACAATTTGGTTCTAAAACAATCAGACTGGAAAGAAAGAAATTATTGTATAGACATTTTTTTATATAGCTATACAATAAATCTTGTTAATTTGAAGAGGGGATGAATCATTCAGAGAATATGGGACACAAACCTTATAGAATCAACAATAAATACTAAGAGAGGATCCTCCTGTACAAGTGGAAAGGGAAGTAGGTGGATTGAGCCAAAACCCATTGTCAGATAAATATGTAATACAGTCAAACCTGCTTTAGTGACCACCTGTATAGAAAGACCACCTGTCTACAAAGACCACATATTATGTTTCCCTTGAAAATGGTTTCTCATTGAAACGTGTACTAAAAGAACCTGTACATAAAGATCACCTGCATTAAAAGACTACATGTCTTGTCTCCCTTTGGTGGTCTTTATAGAAAGGTTTCACTGTACATGAAACTAAGTGAGATATTGTGAGCTAGCCAGCCAGCCTACCTTGCCTCCCGTGTAGACATGTCTAGTTGGGTTACTGATGGTCACAGCACAAACCACCTCTCCATGATTGAGAGTATTTATTTGCCGTGCATGACGAGGAATCCCGGGACCAATTAAAGCATCATGAGGGAATGGTACAGGTTGCATTTTACCGTCTGCACTCACGTGAAATGAGTACGCACTGTAAGGAAGAAAAATGAAATAATAACAATATTTCTTTAGTTCCAGTCATTTACACACTATAATACCATACATTTTAACTTGAGAATTAAATATAAAGTTTCAAAAGCCAATAGATAGCATACAACTTTCATTATTCATTTTCATTCATTCATTCTTTTATTTTTGTTTTGGGTCCATTCATTTCTCTCGCACTCTTGTGCTCTGTCTCTCTCTCTCTCTCTTTCTACCACTTGTTATGCTGTAAGCAGTATTGTACATATACACTACATACTATAACCTACTATAATGCTCATAACTCCTTAGTAAACTAGCAGTGATAGATTCTAGATTGTAATGTACATGGGTCAAATATGAATTGCTAAAATCCATATAATTTGCGGCAGTTTTTCGTAGTTTTGTTTGACGTCCACTTTTGCCAAATATTACATATAAAAGGTGTATAAAAGTGATGTAAACGGCATATTATACTTACGGTTTGCCTCCAGGTATGCCTGGTATAGATGAAATTCTTGTATGTGCATGGGGATCAAAGGGCACAGGACCTGGATTGAACTGGTAACAAACAAAGAAAAATATAATCCTAAAAATTGTGCAGAATGTAACAGCAATAAACAAGTATATTTTATTTTTAATTTCACCTACAAACAGGGTATTGGAATAGGCAATCATAAAAATCATAAATAACATATCAAAGCCATTCTCGTTGATGTGAGTTAGTGAAAGTTGAAAGTTGTTCCCGCACTATTGAAAAATTTATGTAACCTTATATTTAGTCCATATCCATTTCGTCTAATAACCATTTGGTCTAATCATCATTTGGTCTAATTACTGTTTGGTCTAAATATCATTTAGTCTAATAATGACATTGGCTACAGGTCAATTCGTGTATCATCCATTATGCATTATACATCACGATGACTTTTGCAAAGTCAACTCATGGGCAATTTTAATACATGTACCTTTTCATGTAACCAATATCTCAAGAAAAATCCATAGAAATGTGATGGTGATCATAAATTACATATCAAAGCCATAGAACCTGTAGATATCCATAATTTCTCACAGAAATAATGGCCGTTAGATCATGTGATATTTCTCCTCTCTGCTGCCATCTGCAGGAAAATGTCTTGTATTAAAATGATGGCTAGCTGAACTTGATATCAACGCACTCCTTAAATATCATTATTTCTGTGTGATATTATGGATATCTAGAGCACCGTTTGCCAAAGAAAAGTATTGTTGATGTACAAAGGTAGAGTATGAGTAGAAACCAAGTGTCACAAGGGAGGGTTTGTTGCAGATATACATACCATAGGATGTCTGTAGGGACCCAATGCTCCAGGGGATAGGTTGCTTGGCATTCCAGGAGGCATATATGGATTAAGGTCGTGGTTGACTCCACTAGGGCCTGATAAAAAAACAAAAATCAAATTACAATCAAAGAACACCTTACAAAAAATCATCATCATCTTCATTATTATACTTAAACCTATACTTCGAAGTACCCGGTTTATACCCTGTACACTGTTGGTATAACCTACCTAGACTTGGTGGTACCCTGTTTATACCCTGTACACTGTTGGTATAACCTACCTAGACTTGGTGGTACCCTGTTTATACCCTGTACACTGTTGGTATAACCTACATAGACTTGGTGGTACCCTGTTTATACCCTGTACACTGTTGGTATAACCTACCTAGACTTGATGGTACCCTGTTTATACCCTGTACACTGTTGATATAACCTACATAGACTTGGTGGTACCCTGTTTATACCCTGTACACTGTTGGTATAACCTACATAGACTTGGTGGTACCCTGTTTATACCCTGTACACTGTTGGTATAACCTACATAGACTTGGTGGTACCCTGTTTATACCCTGTACACTGTTGGTATAACCTACCTAGACTTGGTGGTACCCTGTTTATACCCTGTACACTGTTGATATAACCTACATAGACTTGGTGGTACCCTGTTTATACCCTGTACACTGTTGGTATAACCTACATAGACTTGGTGGTACCCTGTTTATACCCTGTACACTGTTGGTATAACCTACATAGACTTGGTGGTACACCCTGTTTATACCCTGTACACTGTTGGTATAACCTACATAGACTTGGTGGTACCCTGTTTATACCCTGTACACTGTTGGTATAACCTACCTAGACTTGGTGGTACCCTGTTTATACCCTGTACACTGTTGGTATAACCTACATAGACTTGGTGGTACCCTGTTTATACCCTGTACACTGTTGGTATAACCTACCTAGACTTGGTGGTACCCTGTTTATACCCTGTACACTGTTGATATAACCTACATAGACTTGGTGGTACCCTGTTTATACCCTGTACACTGTTGGTATAACCTACATAGACTTGGTGGTACCCTGTTTATACCCTGTACACTGTTGGTATAACCTACCTAGACTTGGTGGTACCCTGTTTATACCCTGTACACTGTTGGTATAACCTACATAGACTTGGTGGTACCCTGTTTATACCCTGTACACTGTTGGTATAACCTACCTAGACTTGGTGGTACCCTGTTTATACCACGTACACTGCTCCTAGAACCTACCTAGACTTTACGGTACCCTGTTTATACCCTGTTTATACCCTGTACACTGTTGGTATAACCTACCTAGACTTGGTGGTACCCTGTTTAAAACCCTGTACACTCTTTCAAGAACCTACCTAGACTTTGTGGTACCCTGTTTATACCCTGTACACTCTTTCTAGAACCTACCTAGACTTTGTGGTACCCCGTTTATACCCTGTAAACTGCTGCTAGATCCTACCTAGGCTTAGTGGTACCCTGTTTAAAACCTGTACACTCTTTCTACAACTTACCTAGACTTGGTGGTACCCTGTTTAAAACCCTGTACACTCTTTCTAGAACCTACCTAGACTTTGTGGTACCTTGTTTATACCCTATACACTGCTGCTAGATCCTACCTAGGCTTAGTGGTACCCTGTTTAAAACCTGTACACTCTTTCTACAACTTACCTATACTTGGAGGTACTTTGTTTACTGGAGGCTTGATACCCTGTGCACTGCTGCTTGAACCTGGAGTAGCAGCTCCACTGCTAGTGGGTGTCTCTGACTTTGGTGGGGCAGGGGAACTCCGCTTATCATTTTCGTTCTGTTACAAAAAAGATATAATAAAAATATTATTCAAATACACATTAGCTCTATATGTTACAAACAATAGAAGAAAAAGAATTTGATTAGTGCTATACTCTTTTTGTTCGATTGAACATAAATTGTTGCCAGTGAGTCGAGTCTTCCCTACACCTGTAATCAAAACTGATTTTTCACTATTATCCAAAGTTTACTTCTCATCAGATTCGTGGCGCTGGAACAATTTGGTAACAAACTGAAGAGTAGACATCAGCTTTCAAGGTGACACCAGTTAAACATTTGCAAAGCGTTTCAGGAGGCAGTCATGCATTAAAAAGGCAACCTACCCCCCCCCCCCCTACAAAAAAACAAAACAACAACAACATCCCTCGCTGAATGAGGAGGTTACTGGTTTGGTCACTTGTGCCAGCATTTTTGCCCTTTCCGCATTCTACAAAATCTAATGATTGTTTGTACTGATGAATATTAAAAATTGATTGACTAATAAACAGTTGAATGATAGTGAAATGAGTCTAAACCTATCTAGGTTTGTATAGTGGTAACCGAGGAGGCGCGATAGCTCAGTTGGTAAAGCAGTAGTCTCATAATCTGGTGACCTGGGTTCGAAACCAAGGCGCTAGTGCCCTTTGGTAAAGCATTAATCCTCATTACCAGGTCCCTCGGAGAGGACCTAAAGCCCCCGGTCCACTGGTTGCTTACTAACAAGCATTTATGCTTTCTTAGCAGTCAGGTAAAATAACCACCACTACACACAGATAAAAGTCAGTGAGGTGATTCTTACCTCTCTAGGTTTGGATTGTGGTGAACTGGCACTTGATGCAATACTGTTGGGCGTGCTGGATCTCTCTTTCTTTGCCCTGTGTTTGTCCATAGCATTTTCTCTTTCTCTTTCTCTTTCTCTCGGTGACATTTGACTACCATTGGGAGCCGGTGACGGAGGATTCTAATACAAAACAATAAACAATGCGATTTGTCTTTAATCCCCTGTAACTTCACTTTGTTTCAATATCAAAATAAAATTGCCACAAAATGTAATCTTGGGAAATGCGAAGCCTTATGGAATGACATTGGCAAAGAATTTTTCAACTTTGAAAAAAAATATTATGAACCTGGCAATAGATATCTACCAATCAATTGTACAATACATAAACTAATATGAGGTACTTTCACAACTTCTGAGTTTCCAAACAACTATTTCATCAAATTTATTGCCATGAACTTCTATAGCATGGTAGCCTTGACACATCACCATTACTATGGATATCTGGGCCCTGTCTTATAAGCAGTTGCGATTAAACGCAGCTTATGCTCAGGTTGATTAAATCACTCAATTCCATTGTATTTTGCATGGACATGTTTTCTCTTATTTCATCAATTTCATCCATTTATTCCATTGTCTATCAGTATTCATACGTTCTATTTGATGTTATCATCTAGATCAATACGTAGATCTAATATACATGTCAATCATATGCTATAGAGGAAGTACTCTGGAACTAGGAACTCACCTCATTTGCAACATCAACAATGAGATTGTCATCACTCTTGTCACAATCACTTTCCTGAAAGGATACCAGAGTCAGGGAAGAGAAAAATGGGGGGGGGGGGGGATAAAAAGGGGGAGGATTTAAAGATTAATTACATTTCATTCTTAAATATGACAATTTAAGTGTTGGCCAAGGTCACACCATCAAAGAAGATTTGTTGTATTTGACAGTGAACCTGCATGTAAATGTACATCTACTGTTTTCGATCTACATTTTGATGGTTGGTAAAGTTAGATATGAAGCCACAGCTTTGTTTTTACTTCTTAATTTTTCTTGGATATATGTGATATTAAACCTACACATATTTCCATTAAACTTCTAAACTTAAATTTTGAAGAAGACTTGGGGGGGGGGGAGATTTGTTGTTGCTATATAGTACATGTAGAGTGTACTTCTATTTTTAATGTTCAACATCAGTGTTAATTAGTTCATTCTATATAATTTCAATTGTATTAAAATCACAAAATTAGCTATTCCAAGTCATTTTTGTGTAGCTTCTTATCAACGATGCTATCAGTCTCACACCTTCTTTCTAAAAGGTCTTGAATAATAAAGATGAAACTTACCCCTGAATCCTTTTCCTCTCTTTTCCGCTTTGGCATGTTTTTACTGCTGCTCTCACCATGATCTGAGTTACGGTACTTATCTGAAACACGCTCCATACGTTCCATTGGAGAGATGGAGTTCTGTCACAAAAATAAATGAACACTCAACAGTAAACATATTGGTACTGATGTACACATACGAGTCCTTGATTTACACCAGAAACATGCATGTGGGTAGGTACCGAGGAGGCGAGGACACTCGTTAGAACTGTACCTTCACTTTAATGACCTTTCGCCAAAAAAACAAGGACGTCCTCTGTTTGAAAACACTGTAAATTATTCAGAAATTGAGGCCCTTTCATATAGGGATACATTCATTTAGGTGCTCTATTTCTACAGACAAAGTAGGTCCTCGGTTATGCAGATTTCATTATCGTTCTCTGGACGCTATACTTCTACAGAAATGTGTATCCTCAAATATGTAATAACATTCTGATGTTTATTAGTTCTCCATTTACAAGGAATACAGGTTTTAAGTTCCCAGCTACAATAGCTTCAAATAATTATTGATTTGGTCATAACAAGGTTTAATAAGCAGAACACTTCAATTCCATGTAAAATCGACTTAATGAACTTATGACTTTTGACCTTATTTTATCCAAATCCACTTCGCTCACTAAGGTGATGCATACTGATATTAAGTTTAAAGTTCACAGCTCAAATCACTCTTGATACTAAACTTGTCATGGTAGCCCAAATATTGCTGGAGATTTAACTAAAATTTGTGATATCATCATTTAAATCCATTATATTATCTAAATCACCATCTAAATCTGTTATGAAAAGCTAGAATGAAATAATTGCTTTCAAGGTCTTTTATATAAACATTTAATGCCCAAGTTGTGTCCCAAGCCATCATAAACCACTGTTTGGTTAGGTTCAGATAGCAGTGTAGAATTGAACTCTAACATGAAATAACCACATCGCTGTACAGGCAATGGATGTGGTCAGGAGTCTTTGTCCATACATGTCCCTACATGGCTTGATTATTTTTATTTTCATTTTTTACTCAATAAGTCATCCTTGTCCATCAATGACCTTATATGACTTCATGGTCAAGCTTGCCTAATTTGATTTGGTTAACCCTATTCACGGGGGAGGGGTGTCAAATTTGAAACTTTGTCATTGCCATTAATTGATGTGCTTTACCGAGATGGCATGATTACAAATCTAACTTTGATCCCCTGGGATCAGAGGGGTGTAACCTAACTGCAAATGTTCAGCCACACAAGTCAATGGTGACAAGGAAGTATAGTAAAAAGGGAATCAAAATACTGTAGCAGCACAGCACGGAAATATTGAGATTAAGAAGATGATTAATCTATGACCTTGTGTATGTATCAACCTAAAGCATGTATGATCGGTAATCTTCTGATCCTGGAGCTTGAGCTTCAAGTGTTTTGTGCAAGATGTCTTCTTGTAAACTTGCATTGGATATATATCAATCAACAGGGTGACATATCAGCAGAAGGCCAGGCTATTAACTAAGGGGCCACTCCCAAAATATTGACAAACAGATGACAAACAGTAGTGGGGCATCAAGACACCACCTTGACACGTTTATACATTTACACTTTGAACTCTACAGCATTGAATGGGGTGAGGTTCTATTGAATCCTTAGGGGAGAACAAAGGAAAATCCTTCCTTAATAAAAAAAAATTCTGAAAGAAAGGAGACAAATCTAAAAAGCAGACTTGTGAAATTACCACTTCCTGGTATTACTAATTGGGAATGTGCAGTTGGACCACTACACAGGGGTTTTTCCCTACTCCCACTGCCACTATTCATTAACGGAGCAGTGGGTTCTTAGCATAAAAAGGTGGCACATCTCCTCTTCAAGGGGCTTCCATTCAACAAAAAGGCTTTGTATTTACAACAAAATAAATGATATTGTGCAAAATTAAGGGATAATCCACTTTCAAGGAGACATTTCAGCAAAAAAATTCTTTAACACACAAGCCAATGGAAGTGATTAAAATTGCTCCAAACCTACTCAGTACTTACACTCAAACCTAATCATATTGTCTTCCTATAATGACAAATACTTTTACCAAGTTTGAAATTCAAGGCTCAAATGTGGGGAGATATAACGATAACATGAAGGTTGGACGGCCAGGATTTGACCAGACATACTGTACATGTACACTTATTGTATAAAAGAAGGCATTGCCTAATACTCACCCTATGATCTGGACCTGTTTTTGAAAGATGTGGAGAGAAAAATACAAAGGGATTAGGAACATTAAAAAGGTGGAAAAACTATCTTTCTCTCTTTACTAACATTTTGATTTTAAAAAAATTTGAAAATGATTACAATGAAAGTTAAAATATATCCCTCAATTGATTATATGATCATGCATCTTTAGAGTATATCAACACATAACCTGAATGATAGGATGTGTGATAAAGAGAGATAGACACAAGACAAATGTGACTGCATCTCCATTATGCATCCGCTTACTTTCAGTTTTTACCATTAGATACTACATGTAATGTTGTATCAATGTTCACACTCACTAAAATCGTATGACCTGTCTCTAAACTAGGTTTACTTTACCTCTGTATGATACTGCATACTAGTTGACTTAACATCCATCAAAATTATTTTTATGATTATATGACTCAAGTCTAAAACCTCACAGTTATCACTTATTGACCTTTAAAAAAAACGGTTTGACCTACTTACTGCAAGACATTTTTAGCAAATGACCCTATAAGGTGACACATAGTGATAGGTTGATACCTCAAATGGTTCATGAGATATCACAAGACTGAGAAAGCAGATCAAACAGACAGACTGAGAGACAGACAACCCTAAAACATGGTTCTCTATTTTTAAAATTTATTTTTTAAGATAAATAGTGTAAAATACAAAGGAAACTATAAATTGATGGTAATATAAATGCATTCATATTAGCCATGCACTTCATTATTGGTTCTTACTGTGTAGAGGGAGAGAGAGAGAGAAAAAAAAATAACTGGGACATCATACACTTGATCATACATTCCCTTTTCCAAAATATTGATTTAAGTTCAGTGCAAAGAATGCCAAGAGGGGAAATGGTGTCACATACTTTTAACTACTCCAATAGTCAAGAGACTGAATCATCCACGTAGATGCTTCAGAAATAACACAAAGTAAGTGTTGATCAGAGAGATAAAAGAGAAGATTTCGAAATTCTTTCGGCAAATGCATATAAAAGGATCCTGCAATATCTTCCATGGTATATTTTTATTTCTTATACATTTTGCTGTTCATAATATTTGAGGTAAACTTCGCACCACCAACCAACACATTTCAATATTACTTACATCTTCATTTGTTTGTATTACCAACTTTTTTATGTCTATCTTCATCATTACTTGATACAAGTGCAGTCAAACCTGCTTTAGTGACCACCTGGCTACAAAGACTGCATTTTTTTGTTTACCACAAAAATGGTTCTCATTGAAACATGTACTAAAGGAACCTGTCTACAAAGACCACTTTTTGTGTTTTCCTTGGGCAGTCGCTATAGACAGGTTTGACTGTACTGTAAAACTCTTTACGGTATACAGAATACAGTCTTGTTCTGGCCCTAAGATGCATCGTACCTTTATCCTCTTTAGATGATGATAGCGATGGTGCTTGGGCAGCGATAGCACTGGAGAGCTGTAAGAGACCAGAGGACATACTGCTAGGTATCCCAGGCATTCCGGGGTGAGGTGGCATAGGTACTGGAGGAGCATGTGCATGGGGAAGAGGATGCTGCATTGCTGCTTGACCCTGAAAGTAGAATACAAGAAGGAGGATGGCATTTAACAAAATGCTCATCAAAGAATTATTACACATAGATTTTAGCGACTGAATTGTTCATACTCTTACCAGATTTTGTATTTGTTTTACCGGTTACAAGAGAAATTTTCTTTTTTCTTTTTTTTTTTTCTTTTCTCCAGATATATGTTTCTTGAGAATAGTACATATTGAAGCTTGCATCTAAAAGTATTCAACAAAGGCCCTAATATAGCCGGTTTACATTTCATTCTTGAGATACCAAAAAATACTTTTACATGGGGTGGGAATAATTCAGTTGTCAACTGTTTAACGTTATTATATCCCACACCAAATAATTCAACTGAAAGGATTGGCCAGGATTTAGTGAGTTTTGGAATGGTCTTGCAGTTTGAATGAATTTATTAAGTTTGCAAGCCACGTCAGATAATTTAGGGTTCTGAGCTACAGAAACATATATGTACACTGCTATTAATCATAATGGCATCAAGGCAGTCACTCAATATACATGTACATACCACCCAACATTTGAAAATAAGAAATCTGTACCCTTAGCGGGGTCTGGAGGCACAGACCCCGGTCAAGGGGCAGTGCACCTGCAGGGTACAAGCTGAAGCATTTTGAATTATGAAACAAAATGAAATGATGGGCTCTGGTTAACCCAACTTTGATAGTTATTAGTACTTATTATTTTTACAATTAACTGACCATTAAGGATGCGTGGACAGGGCCCGATAGGTTGCTCTCCACATTTGGCTTAAAAAAAAATAATAAAAAAATAAAAATAAAAAATGGGTATTTAGAATTTTGAGAAGTCGAGTTCCGAAATTTGTAGGTCCTAAAAATTCAAAAATCAGAATATTCTGAATAAATTGGAACAGTTGGCCGCTATGCATGTATACAAGAAAACTAGTACAAAGATATCACATTCACATAAATAAGTTTAACAATGAGGCAATCCAATTGGGGCCGTCCGTATCTCATGATTAACATTAAAAAATTAACTAGATTTTTTTCCCCCAAGATTCATCTACACATTTAGTTTCCGCATGAAATAAATATTTGTTTTGTATGGTGTGATATGTATTACTGTGATGAATTTTCCTGAACCATGTTATGATTTTCAAATACTTACTGAGAAGTGTGGGAATGCAGACTGCTGCTGTAAAAGAAAAAGAAAAAGAGATAAGTGTTGGTAGTTAAATGAAGTAAATGAAATCAGCATTTTGTTAAAGCCTGTAAATATATTGAACAGAATGTTCATCCTAAACATGGAAAGTTCTTAGAGGCTCCTATGTGACTTACAAGTCCAAGATACATGTACAAAAGTAGTATAGGATAACAAGGTAATTGCAAACTACATCTCCAATATGCCTGTACACCTAAATTCAGTCAAGTTCATGGCTTGAATTATTCTTGAAATATCACAATGAGGTCAGAAATCCTCTCTCAACATGTCCACTGTTCTGAAAGACCTTTGACCTCTGACCTTATAATCCCATGATGTGATCACCTGTCTTTCTACAGTGATGTGCATACTACTAGCAGGTTTTAAGTTTAAAGCTAAAACAGATTGAAATAGTAATTGATTTGACAATAACAGGGCATTTAGAAAATCCTTTAAAGCAGAAAAATAAAGTAAAGGAAATTGGTCAAAAAATTCAAAAAATTGTAATCACTTTAGGTATAGACTCTTCAAATTAAACTGAATCAGTAGTGTCTCTGTGATGTTGTGGCGGACAACTTTCCCATTTGTTCCGACACACAGAATGACCACCAAAAAAAAATGGGTGGAGGGGTACATGCTCCCACTAGTGGTTTTATGAGAATATATGTATCTCTAATTTTTTTTTTTTTTTTTTGGGGGGGGGGGGGGGCTGGAGGGATTGAGGGTCTTAAGAATTAGGGTGGGTGCTTGAGACCCCACACCACAAAACTACAATAAAAGTCAAAAAGTGTGGTTTTCAGTTAGAGCTCAATGAAGGTGTATTTGGTCAGGATGGTAACATTTCAGTTTTCAGCATTTCCTGAAAGAGTATACTTTTTTCTACAAAATTTCGAAATTCTGCAGTATTTTGTAGAACTCGCATGAGAACTTGGTTACTTGGACAACAGACTTCAAGCACCCTTTTCTTTAAAGTAACATTCTATTCTGTTGGGATGAGTAACATATTTGTTTAAAGCTGAGAATCTCTTCTATCAGAATCAACCCTTAACTATGAAGTCTTTTCTAACGACTTTTTGATGGTTTTGTGGTGCAGGGGTACATATGGCCTAAGACTCCATTCTCACTCTCTTTGTTGGATTGCTACGGCTCTATGCTAGATCGATCCACAAGTCCGTTCCAGGGGTATGGTTCCTTTGTATTCACACTCATCAACATTTTTAACCTCTTTCTATCTTTTCTCATGTTATTATTTGTTTTTATCATTCTATCATGTTTTCATAAAGCAGAAAGTCGGAATGGGTTAATAGAATCATCTGTCCATGTAGCAGATATTTGTGTTCCCCAGGGTTCTGTGGTTGTCCCAATGTTATTTACCATGTACCCATCTCTATTGGGACATGTGATTAAGTCCAATCAAATGTCAGGGATGTGTTAAGCTGATATCAGCACAGTTTAACTCCACAACACACAGAATATTATATTGTACGAATAGACTCACCCCAATGATGGCATTTAGTTCTGTCATCGTAACTTGCTTCGCTCGTTCTACTGCAGCTGCTACTTGTTGTTGATGCTGAAAAAGTAAAAGAAATAAAATGAATGCTACTGTGTCTTCACTATGTATTTGCCTAAATGCAGTTAATTCAGATTTACAATTTTGCAGTTTGTATGTTTTAATTGATCTGAAATTGTAACGTGAAGAAATGATTACATACAAATAATTCCCTAATCCAACAATTTAATGACAGATAATGTATAAAATATTCTAAGGAAACCTATAGTTTATAGAAAGTCTTATCGGCAGTAGTGAGATCTAATAGGGAATACCGACTTCATTCCTGATTGTTGCTACTGTGCATGCAGTGTTTTATACATGTCTGACAAATATGCTTCCTGCGCTGATTGTAGAGATTGAAGAAGAGAAAGCAAGCTGCTATAGTCAGAGGAGTCCCCCTACATGTAATTCTTCTCTCAAAAGGAACTGGTCAATGATATCCGAATTCAGAATCAGAGTCACCAATGATAGAAATATCTCCTCTCCAAGGGCTGGGGCTCCTGACTCTGCCTATCTTGCTTCTTATATGTTACATAATCCCTAGTTCAATGTCTCGGGAGGGCTCGTTGTGTATCCCCTCTCCTGTGGGCTCATGCTTGCATCTGCTTGGTCTAGTGTGTCTGGGTTAGGGTGGGAAAAAGACTGTGCAGACCTCTCGGCATGGGTTCGTCTCATTGCCCACATGGAGGATTAGATCATGAATCCCTTTGCGAGAAGATGGGGGAGAATGGATTGGAGAGCTTGGATAATCCGATCTCCCAGCTCCTCTGAGTTTGGAAGCAAGGAGGGGGCATGTGATGCATCTCTTGTGTGTAGAGGCAGGTGTATGAGTATCACCCTCTTCTCCCCAAGGAATGCTGTATTTTTTTGCTCTATTCCTTCCCCAGCCTTTTCCTTTTTTGTTTCACATTGGCTGTGGGGGGATTCGTGGATGGCTCACATTAATTCCCTTCAGTTTATCATTCAACAAGTCTTTTTCCCCTTATCTCTAGGTTTTGCATTAATGCTAGACTGGGGGCCGATCAATATTGGTCTGCTTTGCATTCGCAACACCATTATTATCATATTTTGTTCTGCCTTTTTGGATCAGGGTATGATAGTAGATTTCCCGACATCGTGGCTCGGTAGAGTGCATTCACGAAAGAGGGAGTATAAACGGGATGGAGGAGCATTATAGGCTCTGTAGGTTGACAGGTTTCCCTCATACATGCAAGCCCAGGGCTGTTAAATAGTTAGACACTCTGATTTTTGTTTAATGAATAAAAATTACCTTAAAATATATTATACCGGTATGCAGTGTAATGCCAGTCAATCTTTCACATCCATGTTTCATTGAAGAAAACAAAGCATTAATGTTGTCAGTAAATATGTTTCCTTTCCTAAATCTATAATTTACTACAGTTGTATGCAACACCTTGTTCTTGGGTCTTGTGACTTTACAGAAGAAAACATGTTAATGTCAGGATTTCTTCCTGTCCCTGAATTCAATCATTCCAACACTATCCATACAATAATGTGTACTGATGCAGATGATCTGTGCTAGAAAGACATCACCTGCAATGATGGAGGTGGTGGTATAGGCAGTGGGACATCTACAGTAGCAATTGGTGAAGAATGAAGATGGTGTAGCTTCTCCTTGAAGGGCTAGGATAAAATTGCTGTGAAACTTGCTACAGGGAAAGGAGCTGCCCAGATACATTTACAGAACCCCTGTCTCGGGAGGATTCTGTTCCTCTCGTTCATCAATTTCTGAATATGCCATACGGGTATGCTCAGCAAGGAACAGGGTTGAAGATCGAATGATTGTTCAAATTTATTATTGATAGTTTACAGAACACATGCACTACACAACTGCCTGATTTGCATTTTGATCTAATCAAAGACTGAAACATTTTTGAGCAAACCAATTTTTGTGAGTATTCATTCGGAAGTAGCCAGTGCTCACTCAAGCGTGAAATATTGGCAATACTTTTAGTGTCACCCAATTGAATAGACCCCGACCATAATTTCATTTCTAAAAATCATGCAGATAATTTTGGGGTATACTTTCAAAACATGCAGTTTAATTGATACACACTGTGTATTAGGAACAGTCAGACCTGCCAACCTCTGGAGTTTAAAAACTGTATTCTTTAATCCCAAAAGTTACATACAGGAAGAATTTTTTTTATGGATCATTGGTTGAATATGCATGATTTCGTCAGGACTGGTGTGTTCGATGAACCAATGAACATCCCCAAATTGCCGATGTGAGATGCTTTATAGGACAGAATGGGCATTTTGCCATTGAAAATGGCACACACACACAAAATACCAACAACAACAAAAATTGAAAATTGAAAATCGTATTTTATTGAGGAAAATCGTACTGTCGTATTTGCTTCTAAAAATCGTACTAAATACGACTATGGCAGGTCTGAACAGTGCATCCAGCATTTAACAAATGTCCCGGCATATGCCACAAACCACAGAATCTTGTTTCTGTGTATAAGGCACACCACACTTTTTCATGTTTTCTTGGATGAAAAAGTGTGGCGTATACACAGGATATTACAGTCATAATTTGTTCTATTGATAACTTCCATGTTTTAATCCAAGTCCTCGATCATGTATTTTTAACATCAGCTAATGAGGAGAGCCATTTACAGGAGTTTAGGTGATTTCAAGGTATTAGCTGAGAGTTTCTTTTCTTTTGTCTGTCCTTGAACCTCATATTCTTGTATTCTTTATTATTGTTATGCTCTTTGTGTTTCTGGAAATCAAATACCATAAAATAGCTCCAAAGTATATTACCTTGCAAGATTCACAAAATTCCATTCAGAAATTAACATGAAATAGGGAAGCAGCTAAGAAACTCACCTCTTGTGATAAAAATGGGATGATCTGAGCACAGATGGCATTCAACCGTTTCGCTATTTCTGTCTGTAAACAAAAAAATGAGCAAGATGAATGTGATGTTTTTACAGTGATGTTTTTACAACTTATTACAAGGGTTGAGATACTTCATCGTACCGGGGCTAAATATGTGTACAAATGCATGTAGCCTGCCTGTCCTGACCTTTGGGCCTTGACATCCATGTACATGTACACATTTTTTTTTTAAATCTGATTAGTTCATAATTTCTACATAGTGATACATATTTAAGTACAAAGTTTGAACTTTATTGATGAAATTAATCTTGAGATCCTGAGAGAATGAGGCTAAAAAATGTAATTATATGGAAATTGGCCTTTATGTTCTCTCACCAGTGTACTATACAGTACAAACTCCCAAATGTCATTAAGTCATCTCCCTATTGAGATAAATATGGTACTTCCAACAAGTTTGAATTTCATGTCTCAATGGTTCTTGAGACAAGCCAGATAGATTAACAGACAACCCCAGAATGTGATGCCTCGAGCACCATCTTTAGTGGGCAGAGACATAACTTACAAATGCTTCTAGATACTTAAGAAGTTTGAATTACATGTCTTCAGGTTTTTAGTTTGTGTCTTTAACTCTTAAATGGTTCTTGAGATATTGCAATAAGACAGTGTTCAGGACAGATGGATGGATGGACTGAATTGCAACCCCAAAAAACATAATGCCTCCAGCACAAATTAAAAATCATGAGTAAAATTACATGGTTCTCTGCATATACATGTATGTAACATTGAAGTAAAGAAGAAAATATAAGGATGGTAAAGTTTAACCCTCACCTGTTTGTGCATTTCAACATTGAGTCCGTATGACATCTCATAGTACTGTATGAATGAAAGGATAAAAATGTAAAGAATCATTATTACCTGTACAGTATGTACACCCTGTACATGTAACAAAATATTGCAAACACACTGCAAAAATTACTATAGGGTTGTGACATGCATTATAAACACATATCATTGAATTTTAAGTTAAAAAACAGTCCTGTTCACTGTTGTACATGTATACATATATATGGAGGAATCAGAAATGAAATATTTCTAACAGTGTAGGATAAATGCATGACTGCTATCCTCAACATTGCTGTTTGTGTGGAAAGCCATCATGCGCAGATTTCTTGATCCTTCAAGCATGACCACAGTTGATAAAGTAGTAATTAAGTACATAGTAGTTTGTTAAGTATGATAATATCATAACAAAGAGAGACATCAACGCTCAAAATTGAATTTGCAAAACTTTTCATTCTCATGGGTCTGTAATTACAGACTCCCGTCTTTGGCTTCTTTTATATGGTAGACCGATGTATGGACAAATAATATTAATGAATCTCATTTACCTGTCAAGACATTAAAACATTATAACAGTTAACATGCTTGAATAATGTCATTACACCAGTGAGAACTGTTCAATAAAGTGAGACTTTAAAGATCAAGAGATAATTTTTTGTAATAAAATTTCATTTGCCATTTTTCCCCCCTGCCCATAAACTAACTTTTAGTTGACTTGTGATGGTGTTCTAAAAAGATATGACAGGTTTGGAGTCACAAAAAATCTTTTGTAGGGGGAGTTATCCCTTGTCTTGTCAAACACTTAGCACAAAAGTCAAACAACAGCACCTACATGTACATCTATGTGTCGTTGATCTTGTACTTTTGATGGTTTCATGAGACAACACTCTGGTTTGCTTTAATTGTTGATGTGTTGTTTGAGTTCATGTGATGTCAAATCTCCATACTAATTAATTAAAGGGCAACATGTTTATTCAAATCTTTCAGTTCCTAGCGACAGTTATGAAATAAAGTGATCAAAAGTTTGAAGTTTGAACTCGCAAACCTGACTCTTATCAGAGTTTTCTGTTTAGTAATGTATGGCAACATTGGATTGCATGATTCTCAAGGTTGGACAAACTTGTGATTTAAAAAAATATTAAAGATAGTTTTTTAAAAATTAAAATCACAATTTGTTATATTTAAATCACGATTTTTTATTTCAAATCATTTTGTATAATTGTTTGCGTAGCTTAAGTCATAGGGATGTTTTGCATCAACTGTAGAGTAGCCTATTATTGGCGAAACAAGGTTCAAATTTGTTTTTACCGGTATTTAGATTTAGATTGAACTGGGTAGGGTATGGAAACATCATTATGTGCAAAAGTAGGGGGGAAATCTACTTTGAAGATATTTCAAACAAAATTTTCTTTAACACAAAAGTCTATAAAAGTAAATGAAATTACTGATTTAAAAAACAAATTGGGGGGACTTATTTTATGCCAAGCCTGATGATACTTCATGTATTCTCTTGATCACATGTTTATGAGGTGAAAAACTTGATGACTATAACTGAAGGTTTATTGTAGCAGGAAGCTACATTTTAAACCCTTTGTATGTAAAAGAACCACAAAATCATGGCCTTGTATTAAAGCGCATTTATCTTCCTCACTTTGTCTGCATGTACACTAACAAGGAAAAATGACAAAGAACATTGTGTCAGTTACATTTCTCTTTTTAGGGGAGGCATACACTGAAAACAAATTGTAAGGAAGACCATACCCTTCATTAGCCATATAACAAATTGTAGGATTACAACAGATTGGCAAACACATTCAATGAGGTGGAACTTTTGTACATACATGTACATAGACCTGTGACAACATGTACATTTCATTCACATTTGTCAAATAACAACTTTCAATTTACCAACTTTACCGAGAATATGTAAAGTTTATTATGAATTTTGCATTCTAGATGTCTTTTATTGCCGCTACATGAACATCTTCAAATTCATGTACAGTGTAAATGTATGTCCTTTCAATTTTAATCATCCTAATTTGAAATACAAATCATTTTACTTTTTCAATGTAATTCAATTCTCAACAAACCATTAACATCAGCTAATTAAATCCATATGAACAGCTTAATAGACTTACCATCACATAATGTCTTTGCATTTCTGTTTTCTCCTGAGCTAATTTTTCACAATCCATTTTTAACCTGGTGAATAAAATACAAATGAGGAAAAATTTATTTTTTGAAAAACATAATTGGTGATATACAATTCCAAACAAAATGAACCCTAAGAATGTAAAAGGAATTGCAGTGAAGTTACATAAATACATGTATGTACTGTTCATGCAAGGTGATGCAACCATTCAAAATTTCATAATTTGAAAAAAAAAATAAGACATTTTAAATTCACACTCATGAATGTTGAAACTTGCGTGCCATGATTAATAAATATATATTGTTGAAATCAATAATTGATACTAATTGTGGCAAACTTTCAATGAAAGTGAAAGTATCAAATTGACAAATTTCTAATAACACACTTGACAACGATATCTAACAACAATTTCAAAACAATTACTGGTAAGTAATACATGGAACTTGTACTAATTTTGTTCTAAAGTTATATTTTTATGCTTCAGCAATCTTAGAAAGATTCCCTTCCAAAAAAAAATCCCTGCAAACCCCTATTTTAACACAGATTTCAACTTTTATATTTCTGTACAAGACAAATACAACTGCATCTCCAATAGATGCCTCCGCTAAAATTCAAATCATGGCTCAAATGGTACTTGAAATATAACACAATGAGAATAAAGAGCCTAGAATGTATGTAATTTAAAATGACCTTTGTGACCTTAATCAGACCTTTGACATAAATTTAACCAGACAACCCCAAACTCTATTCAGTTGTCTTCCTGTAAAGATGTATTCTTGAACCAAGTTTTATTAAAATGTTCACAGCTACAAAATGGTGATATTATTATGGCTAAGTATGGTCAAAGCTGCTCCAATATTTTAAAGTTGTAAATATACATTGCGATAAATCAAAATGATAGATTTGTAGTGCCTATCTAGACTAATTGAAAGCTGCCTTCCATTGTGAATTTTTTATTAAGGTTGATGACAAAGGAAAAGTGGTTGTAACGCTTAAATCAAAATTTCTCCTTGCTGTCCCCATTGGAAAACCTTGGCTCCGACGTGCCCTTGAAATTGTCCTAATACAGTTCTCAAAGAGAGGCAAAGAATTCTTTCAAAAAATTGAATTTCACATTTTAATTATGTGTGAAATATGGAATTTCCTTCTTCATTGTGATCTGTGTACGAACAAAATTGTGATTTTTGTTCGTGTACAACAATCTTCCCCTAACATATTTGGATTTGAAAGAATACCTACCTACTGTATCATTAATCAGTCATATCTTGGCTTCACAACTTTTCAAATGTAATTTCTAAAACTTATTATTTTGGTAGCAGTACATGTACATGTATTTGTATATGTAGCCATGCTTGAAGCAACAAGGAATTTCATTATGATGGCTTTCCATACAATTAGCTGTGTTGACAAGAGCAGTCATGCGTTTGCCAACACACCTGAGTGTATTAAAAGCCATCATGTGCATATTTCTCAAACTTCAAGCACGACTACGACATTGCCCCACAAGAACAGCAGCAAAATCAAAACAACGAATACTAAAAAAATGATCACCTTGATGTCAGTTTACTCAGAAAAGAATATTCCCCAAAGTAAAAAAAACAACAGATAAATGTGTCAATGATGTCAAGAGTCGCGATTATAGATCCCAATGTATCTATAAGGTTTGAACAAATTTGCATTATTAACCATGAAGTACAACTTTGATTTAGGTTTCTGGAGAATATAGGTACGGTAATAATTATAATATTGACTGGCTTACAGTGTTTATTTCAGGAGATACTGAATATATTGCCCTCAAGGCCAGTCAATATTATATGATTATTGTAATCTACACATGTATGGCTAATAAGCTTTCCATTGATACAACATGTATGATTCATCTATTTCGCACTTGTCCTAATCTTATTAAGTCTATATAGACATCTCCTTTAGAAAGTATAATTGCTACTTATAAAAACTCATGAGAAGTTTTATGCAGACGATACTGAACTAGATAATTGGAAGATAATTTGGCCAGCACGCCGAGCCACGCAACACTACTACCAGATTGTATAGTAAAAGCCACATCATACAGCCCTAATGTCCTTAATTTTTTTAATTTCGAAATTGAAAGTGCTCTCTGAATGTCATTTTGTATCGACTGAAACTGCCCTGAATAGGCAATGGACTTCCATATTAATACTTACGTATGATACTGTGCCTGTAAGAAGCTGAACTCTTCCTTGATTCGATCACATGACTCTGGAATTGTGAATTTGAATGGCTGCCCAGGTTGATGGGGTGTCTGAATAGATAGATAAGAATAAATCTTTGGTTATAAACATTTTAAATCATTAGACTCATTAAAGGCATTGCAGAGACTGGAAAAGTAGCACATGTCAAATCACACAGTTCCTCTGGAGTGCAGTAAAAAAAAGTTTTTGCACGCACAAGTGAAACCCCGCAGATTTTTGTGGGCAAAACCCCTTACCACCAATACATGTACAGCGTTGAATATGAACAATATTCTTGGGGTTAGGTTTCCTTTAATACTCAGACCATCAAGGTGGTATTGATAATACAGAGTCTGCTGTCCTATACACGTGTAGAGATCTACACTTTGTTGTATTGAACTGAACCTGCAACTTCTACGTCCATTGCGTTACACCCTGCAGGTCTTCTAAGCCTACCTGTAGGCGGTTACAACCATTCTTCAGTCTGATATGATCTCTCTGTTTGGTGTTGTCTACCTATCAATCTTTACAATGCTGTTTACCACCTCAGGTGCATGTATGTTGTTACATACATGTGTGCAACAAAGACAGTGGGACTGAGAACACTATCCTGAGGCACTCTCCATCAGCTCGAGCTGAAACAATAAAAAGATCATTTTTGAGCTCGAGATTATCAGCAGGCTGAAGCAGAAGCTAAAGATTCAGGCTTGAGCTTGAGGGATGCGCACTTCAGCCACATTATTGAGCATGCGGCATCAATTGTTTACCCTAAATCATAAATAAAATCTTAAGATCATTAATACACGCACTGCATTAACGTACATGTAGCTAATCAAAAACATAAACAATTGGAAATAGCCGGTAGTCGTGCATGCCGGGATCAAATTCATCTTGAACTAAATGAGGACAGGACGAAAGAAGCAAGCTTTTCCTGAATTAGCCGACTATTTTCCCAAACTAGCCCACAAGTTGGGGGCAATTAGCTCTAGCTACATGTAGGTATAAGGCCAATTGTGTCTTTATCTACCAAATAGCTCGAGATATTAAGCTTGAGGTAGTTTCAGAAACACAAAACAGCAGGATAATTGACTAGCTCAAGCTACTGAAGATGCACTGACCGAGAAGTCTTTTCACTCAAGACAACTCTTTGCCTGTGATGGGTCAGGAAACAATGAAGCCATTTCTCCAGTCTACCTGTATTGTAATGCCAAGGGATCACAGCTTGTTCATCAGACAACCAGGGAGCACATAGTCAAATGCTTTAAAGAAATCAAGGTGAAGTTCTGTCCGAGATTTCTCATCATCTTTCGCAATTTGGTGGCATCCCTTCTTGAATGCAGATCTATATCATCTTACGGTAGTCTGTTTTACATCTCTCTCTCTCTCCGCCATCTGAACAAATTTTCATGGATCTTGTACCTTGAGCCTTGAACCTTTGATCTCATCATCAAAGCTACATGTATTAGAAAGGTTATTGCATGTACTGCAGTGCTTTTTATGAAAGTTTCATTGACCTTTCAACCTTAGACCTTGGTCAGTTTTGACCCATTTTTGAACTTACATGTGTAACCTATTTACTCAAAGAGCTTTACATGTACCTGTGGTATGTGTTTGATGTACATGTAGCTCAAAGTCATAGAAAGTTATTGTATGTACAGTGCTTTTCATTGAAAGTTCACTGACCTTAGTAAGATTTTTCCCTTTTTAAACTTGACCTGCACCTTCAAGAGATGTACCTGTAGAACTGGTGATCCTACCTCAAAGCTACATGTACACTGTATGGACAGTCATTGCGTACAGGGCTTTTCACTGAGAGCTCATTGACCTTTTGACCTTTGAAGCTACAGGTATAGAAAGTCATTGCAAGAGAAGCATGATTGTTGACTATGGCAACGGCAAGTGCCTTTCACTGAGGAATCTGTCAGACTCATCACATTTCTGCATTAAATACACTGTACCTTAGAAACCAAAGAACCATGCTAATTTGTGTCAAATTTCAGTCTTCTTGAAGATAGAATGACCAATACTGAGCATGTGCAGGAGCAGCAGACTATATCTCCATGCCAACTAAACTATACATACAGTACAACTACAAGTACGGACTTCAGAATATGGGCGTATATCTTTTTATTGAAAAGTAATACAGATTCTTCTTTCATACAAGATACTCTCTATTTATTATTTCCAGGCAAAGTGAAACAAAAACCTAATAACAGAGACAAAGGAAGTAAGAAATACCACAGACAATAGCCATCAGGAAACTAAATCCTGTTAAGTGTTAAGTCAGTGGTTTACAAATATACAAACAAATAAATACAGTTTCAATATGTACTGACAATATAAGGGAAGTAATGAAACCACTTTAAAATAGAAGATAAACAAAATATCCTCATATTTGGGGAAAATTCTAAAAAGTTATAAATCGTTCCTTAAGGTAGAAATTGAATATAATCATGATTAGTTTCTAATTTCTAGAAATGGCTGGTAGAAGTAGACAACAGGCCGAGTTGGAGATTGCACACTTTTGTGAGCGATGCTTGTACGTATGTGTACAGTACATGCATCATCCATGGCCCAGTAGGCCTACACATGTACAGCATGTTAACTCCTAGCCAACAATAACATCGGGACATATCAAGTAAATTAAGAAGGAAGTGGATAATATGATGCGACTCGTAGATGAAAAGATAAAGGTACATTGTTGAGAACAAAATATATCACAAATGGGAAAGTTGTTGGCCACTACATGTACATCAGCCAATTTGAAGAGCCCTTACCTTTAGTGATTGCAACTTTTAAAACTTCATAACTTTCCCTTTTTTATTTTTCATTCACACTATCACCTGTACACTTCTCAGATTTTCTGCTTTCTTCTGGATCTGGATCTGTATGATGCAAGGCCTTATGCCTAGATTACATTTGGCCTGCGATTAGTCTACAGAGCCTATATCCTGCATGTATTCCCTTTTCTGTGCGGCCTCTGTGTGGAGGCAGGAGGCGGCCGTGAGATATTTGTACGGATTCACAGACTCCGCGACCTCTATGATTTTGTTTCGCTGGAAGTTATACAAATTTGAAAAATTGTAAGCCCGTAGACCTGTCGTAGATGGCATTACACAATCCCCGCACAGGCATCGAGCTGAGGCCTCTCGTTCTGATCATTTAGCAAACGCACGATTTTTGGTCAACATGGGGGCCAAAAACAGCACCGCGGCTACACGGTCACCGCACCTTTTTTGCGCAACTTATGCACAAAAGCAGCACAGGCTCCGTACGATTTTCGTGCAGAGGTTGTGGAGACTGCACAGCTACTGCATTGAAATTGCACGATTTCCGTACAATCTCCAAACAGCCTCTGTACGGATTTGCCCCCTGCCCCCAAGGGCCAATACAAGAAATGGCACGATGCTCGTAGATAACGTAAACATAAACATTGTAGCCCGTAGTCTCCTACGCAGTAATCTAGGCATAACTGGGCATAAAGCACTGGTTGAGAGAGGGCGCAGGGGTACTTAGAAGGCTTTGTCAATGGCCTTCCTGAATGTGCTGGTTGATGTGGAGTTTATGGTGTTGTCGTCCAAATGGTTCCACTCGATGATAGATGGAAAGTATGAGCTCCTGTAACTTTCAGTTTGTGCTCTGATGGGATTGTAGCACTTGCTGTTGTTTGTCATTTGTCTGTCTATGATATTTGAGGTATTACAGTTTTCAAATTGTTTGGCACAGATTTTGAATTGGGAGAGCTGGCACCAGCCCCCTACCACTTTGAAGAAGAGGGTGAGTTTGAGGTTTTTCCTTCTTTCCTTTAGGTTAGGTAGATGGAGCTCGACAAGCTGAAGCCCTCATCCTCTGGTCACATAATTTCCTGTGATGAAGCAAACGTCAGAACTGCTCTTCTTTGAACGTTTTTGAGTTTGTTGATGTCCTTCTGCAAATACGGATCCCAAGATGTAGCACCATATTCGAGGAGAGATCTTACAAGTGCAGTGTAGGCTGTTTGCTTGATATCTGCAGGAAAGAAGTGGAGGTTTCTGCGAAGGAGGGATAGGACCCAGTTTGCCTTTTGGGAGGTCTTGGCAACATGTTTCTCCCACTTCAAGTCCTCTGAGATTGTGACTCCCAAGTAACGAATATGTTGGACAAACAGTACTTCAGGATGTGGCCATTGAGTTGGTAGAAGAAGAAAGACTTGCTGCAGATGCTCATGGTGTAGCACTTCTTCTGCTTCTTTGGGTTAAGTCAACCTCCTTCACAGTTGAAGATTCTTGCAGACTGATGAGTGTGTGTGCTAACAAGAGCCAGGTGCATGGTGCAAGTAAAAATTACCCAGACTTAGTTAGTTGCAGCCTCCCTTCAGGCATTGACAGAAGGCATTCACGAAGGCACGATAACCCAGTTGGTAGAGCAGTGGTCTCGTAATTTGGCAATCAGGTTTTGTAACCAAGTCGATGCGCTAGTGCCCTTTGGTAAGGCACTAATCCCCATTACCAGGTCCCTCGGAGAGGACCTAAAGCTAACAAGCATTTATGCTTCCTAAGCAGTCAGGTAAAATAACCACCACTAACCACCACCACATGTGGCACATACTGTTCCTGATGGCAGGTTGTTCCAACTCCTCACAGTCCTGGGAAAGAAGGACTGCTTATGTTGCTCAGTTCTTGATCGGGGGACTTGGTAGCTATGTGCATGGACAGTCCTGGTAAGTCTTGTGACAGGGTTGATGCAGGGTGCTGTGTTGAGTGCTACCAGGTTGTTGCGAAGCTTGTACAGCATCACCAGTCTATAATTTTCTCTGCGTTGCTCGAGTGTGGTCCAGTCAAGTTGTTGGAGCATGGAGGTCACACTAGAGGTGTTGTGGTACCGATTAAGGGTGAATCTAGCTGCCCGTCTTTGTACCAGTTCTATTTGATGGATGTAGTTTGCAGAGGAGGGATCACACACTGTGGCACTTGTATTCAACGAGTTGTCTTACTAGAGCTTTGTAGGCAGTACTCTTCAGGTCTGGTGAGTTGATCCGGAGATTTTGTCTGAGGAAAGCGAGGGTGTTGTTTGCTTTCTGTCATATACTTGTGATGTGTTTGCCCATTTCAAGTCGGATGTGACTGTGATGCCAAGGTACTAGGTTGATAAGACTACTTCCAGTGGTGTGTTGTTCAGGATGTACTGGTGTTGTATCTGGCTCTTCTTCCTGGACACTGTGATGGCCTTGCACTTGTCTGTATTGAGCTCCATCATCATTTCAAAGGACCATTCAGCCATTCTTTGAGTTGAAGCACTTCTTTGCCCATGCATCTAGAGCTGCAAGATCATCTTGTAGGATGGGATGGTCTTGTTGCTTCCCGATTTGGAGGTAGAGGAGGCAGTCATCTGCGAACATGAATTTCCTTCTTCTTCCAGTGTAAGTGCTGCTTCAAGTTTTCTAAAACTAAACCGTTACGTCTAGGCATACATCATATAATGTTTATGTAGTCTACATAAAGAAAAACAGGGGACAATTTATTCGCAGGATTGTGGTAAAAATCGGTAGTAGAGGTCTAGATCTACATCATGTGGGCAACGTGGGTTTCAGTCTGTGTGTGGGGAAGGATAAAAGATGTTAATTTGGCGAGGTCTGTTGAATCTTAAAGACAATAAAGACAAGATTATTATTTTGACTTTGTTAATGTTAGAAGTCTAACTTGTTTTGTTAATAGAGGTCTATGTAATTGTTACAATTGTTGTAGGCCCTAGACATCATCTAGAATCTACTCTAGATCTAGAGAGAAAAATATATATTCTAGATCTACAATTCCACATAGTGCATTACTAGACAAAAGTGGGATGTGTATTTCCGGAGCTAGACTAGTACATCTACACAGAATATTCATCACAAATGAAAATAGTAACAGTTAGATGACTTGTAACAGTATCAGTCAATGCTTATGGATGGGACCATAGCAAACGAAACGTGAAGCGCCTGGGCACCTCACATCACTGATCCCATGGTAGATCTATGCGCACCGCACACACCATCTACACAGCACTCTCATAAACAACATTAACACTCGTTCAAGCAACTTATTAGCACATCAAAACAATGAAATATTTCACTTACTGCATGCCTAGTTTGCGGATACATGGCGGCAAATGGTAACAGGCTCCTTTCAAGAATCCAGAATAAATCTAAAATCCACGATGTTATATTCCAATACTCTAAATCCTCAAGAAACGCCTTGGTGTCCCAGCCATGAATACTGTACAATTCATGTGTAAACTTAGCTATTCCAAACAGCGAAGCATATGCATGCAGTGTGTGTAAAACACATATCCCGTGCACACACACAACACACTTACACACACTTCGTGTATATCCAATGGGCGGGCATGACAGGCTTTAATACTCAATACACTGTTTGTGTGGTGGGAAGTAATTTGCCCGCGTATATAGTGTCTGCGTATATATTCGTCCAAGTCAATTCAACACTGGTGTATACTTGTAGTTGCAGTTCAACGAGGATCATATATTCAGTTGTTGGGGGGAAATGGATACCGGTGTTATCCCTCAAAAGTGTAGGTGTAATCCATGTTTAGTTCGAAAATTAAGCCCCCAAAAATATATTTTGCAAAACTGCATCACATGTCAACCACTTAAAGTTTTTCTATATCCAAAATTATAAATCTGGCTTAGAATAAACTATATCATGTGCGGCATTTAGATACCACATAATAGGCAAGTTTCCACGCGGGACGCGACGACAAAGAAACAAGTGATATATTCCATAAAAGGAAAGTAATTGATTGGCTGTATCACCGACGGCGATTGAACGTGACCAGTAAGAAACGAGAATTTCACGTGCCACTAATATATGTTCGCATAGTAGATTCAATAACCAATCAGTCACGCGTATGTCCACAAGACACGCCCTGTGGGTGACACTGTGATCACGCCTGACTAAAGTTCAGCTGACAAATTGCTGAAAGCCTCACCTACCACTTATCCGCGGAATGCGGGCACAGAAACCGATTGCATTTCACGCTGATATAAGCTGGCAATCCAGCCACACACTGCACACCGCGACAGACGAAGCTGCACAATATTCCGTGGGGATTAGCTAGCCAACAACAAAGCAAGGAAAATTATCAAGTTACCCTGGGGGTAGCCGCAACGGGGGTTCGAACGATAAGATTGCACTTACGTGAGCGAAAAAAGCTCGCCCTTATTTATTAAAAATAAACACAGGCGATACAGTGTACATGTATCCGGCCGAGATGGTGTGTGTACCCGGGAGGGTTTGCCATGAAAACAAGTCAATCAAATATTGGCGGAGAGATCTTTCTTGAATTGAACACAGCTACGACAAACACAAACTCACATTGCGCTTTAAACTAGGGGTTTTATTGGAAAGGGGTGGTCGCTTTCTTCACCTGTCAAAGAGTGGGTTCATTTTCCATCCTAAAACAGGCTATATAATATAATATTGTGATAATCGGTCTATTTAACTATTAGACTGAACATAGTCCTTAAGTTGAGCAAAACTTCAACTCTAGCGTTCCTATAACAACGTCTTTACATTTAAGTGTGTTTTTTTTTCTTCTTCTCAATTCATTCCACATCTCAAATTCTGTTGTGCATCAGACTCACTCATACAATTTTTTTTTTTAATACTAGAGTCGGAGGTTCTCCGACCCTGAACATTATGAAGTAGACCTATATTTTATAATTATAGGGCCTATAGTTATGTAAAATGCAAATTCCAAAGACACGGTATCGTTCAGGGGTTAGATTCGGCGCACGGCTATCAGTCAACGGAAAACAGCAAACAAAGAGTATCATAAAATGAAATCTTATAAAGACCTTTCCACGGCTGGGTGATAATAATTCTCACCGCCAAATATTATTCCCGAGGACAGGGATAAGCTGCAACGCTACGCCTATGCACTCGCATTCACACACAGGAGGACACGCCTACAATATAGCGAAAAATCGGTGACTCTGCAAACTATGTCTCTGATTGGATAAACCGATTCATCTAATTAAAAGCACGTGAGCGAAGTGAAACGCACAGGCTCCAATACGCTGACAAGGTTTTGCTGGAAGAGCTGTGGCTGCTTGAACCAATGTTTATGCTACCGCAGTTAAGTCCACAAATGAGGATATTGGTTTAGTAACCCAGCTTAGGAAAAAGTGGAAATAATAAGTGAACATAGCAACCTGTATGTCTAAAACGCCCATTCAAGCACATAGATACCCTATTTATTTTTTAAAAAATGATATAAATTGAGTGGTCCATATCACGTGATCAAATCGCAACGCTTTTTTTTCTCGGTTTTTCATTTCGTTTTTATTGTTTAAAAGATATTAATCATATAACAGTAGAATCAAGATAGATTGAGAGAAAACAAAAAGAATAACAGATAAATGAACAAATTAAGATGCAGCACATACAGAGCACATATTGGATAGGCCTACAAGTCACATCAGAGCAGTTTCAACTGTAATTTATTACAGGTGAAAAACTCCATTTACGAAAATGAAGTTTACCATTTCGTTTTGCCACTCACTGTTCGATTTCCTTCTTAGTATTCATATAATTAGAGCCTTGAACATTTGGAGATTTACTATAATATTTACAAATGTAAATGTAGTATTTCAAATATTATATAAGAATCAGGTTACAAAATAATTTGTCTTGATAACCAAACATTTTGATCGAAAGTAGAGGGATGTATGGTTTTTATTATTTTGGGGGATTGATAGCATCGATCGTTTGATTCCAAATTGGTTTCCGGCTCAGTTTTACATAAAGAGCAGTTGGGAAAGTCTTTTCTTCTCATATTATATAGAACCTAATGCAGTAGGCCTTCAATAACGCCCTATTTTCACGAAGTGACGGTATATGAGGAAAATCGTCACGCAAATTATATTCGATTTTCCTCTTTACCGTCACTTCGTGAAAATAGAGACGATTTGCTTAATGAAAAAGTTTTAAATAAAAATGACCAAATACGAGCGTAAATTGAGCTTATAAAATCACTTATTATGTATTTTATTATTTCGCGGAATTTAGATTAGAAATACGTTCAGTTCTTCTGTTGCAGGCAAGCAAATTTCGGAACTTTCTGCGTTTTTCTTAGCTTATTCTATCGAAGATCACTTCTTGGTTATGTTCTGAGTTGTCGAGCCATTGCGGGGGAATGTTTGTCAACAAGAAATTATAATTATTTCCTCCTATCCAACAACTGCTTTTTTCATAACTGTGACCTAGTGTACAAGACATTATTGTTTTCCCCGGTTGCTTGTGGAAATTTCTCTTGCCAGTCAATAGACCGGCTTACTAATAATATATTCGAATTTATGGATATATTTTTCCTAGGGACCTAGTGACGAGTTATTCCATTGATTATTAATAAATGAACTACAGTACTTGGAATCTAGTCTGCATACATTCCTTGTTGCTATATCGGACAAACCTCAATTGTCAATACTATGACAATTACCTTTGTTTGAAACGTATGCATACAATTTGAATATGTTAGTACACCGGTCTATTTGACGAGCTATATAATGATAGTAACAAAATGCACTTATTCTCATGTCAACCATAACCTTGGAAATAGATTATGCAATCACACATCGTATAATTATCAATAATTCAATCAGGTGATTTACATAATTATAGTCGCATGCTGCAAGGTATAATTGATGATGATAATCGAGTGACCAAATTTTATTGAACTAGAAATAATTCTTTATTTGAAATTCAAATAGGCCCTATTTATAAAAATGCTGGAAGAATTGTCGAAAGGTGGGAACAATGACAGCGGCATAATCTCGGGGAAGTGGGCGCCCATGGTTATGCCCCCGGTGGGGTCACTCCCCTGCAAAGAGTGACACGTATGACCGTTACCACCAATGCATATAACCCCCTTTTGCGGTCAATTTCAAGGACATTTTGTGAAATTTAACCCCCTTTTTTTACGTCAAAACAAGGACAAAATCGTACTTTGGAATACCCCTATTTATAAGATTGTAAGGACACTTTCGCAAATTTACCCCTATTTTACCATATTTCAAGGAAAAGACTCGGCTCCGAGAATTTTTCTTCCCGGAATAGGACCCCTATTTATCAATTTCGGGGACACCTGTGCACCCCTATTTTCTTTATTTCGAGGAATATTTTGTCCGCGGACATTGCTTGAAATTGACCCCTTTTTCCGCGATTTTGGTAACGGTTATGCGGTCCGGAAGTCACATTGAGTGACCCCACCGGGGTTATGCCCCATATTTATAATGGGCTATGCTATGGAAAAAATAACAAAAACTCAACTCTTGATATGCAAATTGTGGTCATTATAACCCCATAGAAGACACGTTAAAGCGATCATACGGGGTGTCTCAAAGATGCAACGAGATTTTAATTAGCAATATCCTAAACACGATAAAAACCGTCCTCATTTAATATTGTTCTCTGTGGGTTTTCATGGTGAGTGAGTATTAACAAATTGAGGCTTTAGGTAACACCATGCGGTATTAGCCTTACTGAAAAAGTCGTTGATATATTTTTTCTTTTGACGAAAGAATATTATCAACGGCCTTTTCAGTAAGGCTAGCACAATTGGTGTCACCGAAAGCCTCGATTTGTGAATTCATAAGTCATGTTGTAAAAGTACCTTCTCATCATTCTGCGAATTTCATAAGGTAAGACGTAGCATTTTTCAAATGTTACAAGGAAAGCACGTTGAATAGCATCGCTGCACAATAAGAGTATGCCTGGCTAATGAATATTTCGTGGCAAGCTCTCAGCTTAACTTCAATTTATGCAACAAAGGGGGTGTTAAGAATTAAGATTAATCCCGTTTACAAAAGCAGTAATCTTCTGAAGGTGAACAGACCACACAATGCTCGAAACGCGGCGAGACAGTTCACGATAGCATTATGTAGCTCAGGAGAAAATCTATTCAGAACTACCCAACGAGGACTACCAAACTTCTTTTCAAAGACTACATTCTTCTTTTTTCACTCTTCAACTTTTGTCTGTTCACAACCTTCCCATTAATCTCGATCAACTCTTCTCCCCCTCCTTTCCTTCTCCTTTTCATCTCGTTGTTGGTGTACACAACACCGAAAACAAAATCCCAAAATAATCTCATATAAGTGTTTATAAGAAACCATCATTCCATTGTCACCTCTTACCTTTAAAAAAAAAAATCGTATAGAGTTCTTCCTCATTTCCTCTAAACGCCCATAAGCTGGTTCTTTTGGTGAAAGAATTATCAACAACCCTTTCAGTGAGGCTACCACATGGTGTTACTGAAAGCCCTTATTTATGAGTACTCACATGCCGATAACATTTAACAAACAGTAAGGTTATTTAGTGCCTTTGAAAATAAAATATATTGAGAAACTTGGAGGACACGTAAGCAATGTTAGGTCTTCTGAAGAAAAAAAAGGATATCATCAAAATAAATATTTGATGTTTGATGCCTAACTTGAAATGATTGTTTGAAGAGTTAAATTAGCCTATGTAGCCTATTTCAATTATTTTCTTTTGCCAATATAACGCACCGTTTTTGTCTTGCAAAGGGGGCGTGACTCCCCCCCCCCCCCCCCCCCCCCCATAGAAGAAAATATAATTATCCCCTTGTTTTTTATTGGAAAAATATACTCGGCTTTCAATTTAAATAACTATATTTCCATAACTCATTATTATAGAAACATGAAGAAGAAAAAAATGCTTACATAAAATGAATATCAAATGACATTTGC